ATAAAAATAGAAAAGAGTAAAGGAGAGAGTACGCCAATCTGGGGCACACCAGCAGTTAAGTTAGACCAAGATGACGAGCCATCATTGATTTTCACGCTCTGCTGGCGACCGAAAAGATACGAAGAGAACCAACTTATAGTAGGAGAGGGGATATTAACAGCCTGAAGGGCACCAAGAAGAATGTCGAAGTTAACAAAGTTAAAAGCGTTGCTGAAATCCAAGAGGGCAATGGCAGTGAGTTTCGTTTCATCCATAGCACGACGTATGTCCTCCGTAATGTTCAGTAATGCTCCAATAGTGCTATGAGATGGACGAAAGCCAGACTGAAACGGACTTAAAAGATTATAGGAGGTAAGATGAGAATAAAGTTGTGTATGTACAATGGATTCTAGGGCTTTAGAAAGAATGGGGAGAATGGAAACAGGACGGTATTGTGAAAAAGATGTAGGATTCTGGATTTTAGGGAGAGGTATGACAAAAGCCTTTTTCCATTGAGTTGGAAAGACATAGCGCGAGAGAGAAAAATTTATGATGTAAGTAATAACCGGCGCAATGTCCTCCAGCACGGGAAGAATCATTTCGAGGCTCAAATTGTCACTGCCAATGGCCTTAGTGGAAATCGAGCGGATACTCTTTTTTACAAGATCCTCTGTGACCGCACTAAAAGTGAAAGGGGGACAATCAGGTAACGCAAGATTAGACAGAAAAGTTAGAGTATTCGATTTAGTGCGAGAGTTAAGGATGATGGGCGGCGTGGAAAAGTGGGAGTTCAGGGTATCGAGATCTATGTTGTTTTGGCAAACATCCAAGGACGACTTGCCAACACCTACGGAATGTGAAAATGTGATCAAGGGTAGCCACGTCCAGACCACATTCACACAAAGAGTTGTCTCTCACACGCATTTTATTGAGGAACAGAGGGGAACAAAGTATGGGCCAGTCTCAGTCTACAGATCGTTTAAAGTTACATACTATTGTTTTCTTCAGTTGTCAAATTAGCCTCTTAAATTGTGACGACTATAGTATAGAGTGTATTCATTATACAAACAAAAAATGCTATGGCAGCTGGGCTCCAAACACAGAACAATAAGTACAGTAAAAGTGGTTAGTCTCGAAAGACCTATATGGTAAGGTTGTGTCATTCTTTCGTGCAAATTCTCTAGTCCTAGAAAAATGCGTTATTGTGCTGCTTTGGAGTGCAAAAATATTACCCGTGGTGGTGGTACTCCGATGATATGAAATATCATATCATCATTAAATTTTTGTATGAATACTCCGTGCCGAATAAATGAGTCTCATTTGTGCGCAGTTTTTTTTAAAGTGTACACCCATTGCCATTAAAATAATAACTACAATATACCTCGTGTGTTTGTAAGTTTTGAATTTTGAATTAAAAAATAATACTGCCAACTGTTTAATGGTTGTTTTGATTTTGAATTTTAATAAGGCATTAAGGTGAAACCAAAAATTATCAAAGTGATATTTTAGAGATTGTGGTGAAACCCCTGTATACTACTTTATTTCACAAAAAAGATTGGATTTGGAATGGATTTTCCAGCACGACTCGGCACCGGCCCATAAGGCTAAATGACTCAAACCTGACAATTTTTTTCTTACGGCCATTCTCCAGTCCTGATCTTAACCCACTAATCTCTGTGGCCTGAATTGGAGCTGAAGGCCCGCCAAAAGTTCTACCCAAATTTTGATTCTCTAAAACGGGCCCTCGTCAAAGAAACGAACCGAATCCCACTGGAGAAGATTTGTGCCACAATCAGAAACGACGAGAGATTGCCCAGAACGTCTAAGAGCTTGTATTAAGAATATATGCGGACATTTTGAGAAATAAACGCTGGTAGTTGTTGGATAGTGCCTACTTATCATTATCTGAAAATTTCAAAAATACAACTGAATTTTTTACATTTTTATGTAACTTTTTGTTCGTCTACACACACACGAAGTATTTTATTTCAGTGCTTGACACTTCAAATATAAATTCAATTCCATGCAGCTTACGACAACAACGGTTCAAAGTGTGAGCTTAACATATTCTTGACCTTACATTTTTACCTCGCATCAGCTGTGCAGAGTACCTACGTGATTTTAAAAAAATACTAATACTTTCAGATGTAGATACTACTACATTGGTTTATTTTAGCTACTGTCACAGTTTAATAACACATGGCATACAACGCTCAAATCCGGAACAAAATAACATTTATTCATTTCGCACTTAATAATTATATGGATATCAATAACAACTTGCACAGCACATTAGATAGTCCCGTGAGGATTCGCGGTATTATTTTTGTCTCATGAGTAGTTTACGTCACTACTTGACATTTGTTAATTAAAAACTCCAAGTTGTAGATCGTAAGGTTCATGACTAAACGAAGAATCAATGTGATCAAGATCATCACATCAAAAAATATGTTAACATAGAAAACTGTTAATTAACTAAAAAATATATACTTATATACGGAGTGTAATTCTATCCTTGGCAAGACTGGATGTAGCAGAGCATTTTTTAAGTTTGGACGGACACTTCACGTGGTGAATTCCATAATGGAAGTGGAAAAAAATATTCAAAAGTAGTTTTTATTATGCGATGGTACTATTTTATCTATGGATGGCATCTCCCGTGTTGTATGCTTTAATAAGGCTTTAAAGCAAGTCAGAAAATCTACCATTTACTTGCTTGTTCGTAAAAATGTGTTAAAAATTACCAAGACAGACTTTGATTGACACTTTCACGGAGAAATAATAAAAACTGATTTGCTACATCCAGTTCTCGGCATTTGAGTTCTTAGAGCTGTAAAGATACACTTTAAAGTAACATTAGATTCAACTGACAATTTATATTTCTTTCATCAATAAACCTATAGAGTACATAGAGTACAATAATAAACCTAGATTGTCTTATTACAATAATCAATGTAATGGTATGTGTGTCCGAATTCATAATGCTCTACCAAAAGACATTAAAACGTTACCAAATAATTTGTTCAGAGACAGACTTAGTAAATGGCTTAGAGACAAAAATTATTACAAAGTGACTGATTTTTTAGATAAATGTTGACATGAAATTAGTGCTTAATGTATATGCATGTACAATGTTATAATGATGTATAAATATTTAATAATTTGACATAGGTTATTATTTTGTTGTTTTAATTGACTGATTATTCTTTGTTGATTATTAGATATCGACATAAAATTATAAGGTGTATGTATGTTTCATGTAATAATAATGTATGATAGTTAATAATTTGACATTGATAGTTTATTATTTTGTTGTTATTAATTAATTGATTGAATATTCCTTGTACACGTCCGATAACAGTGCTATAATTAAATTAAATTTAAGTAATATTTTGCAAGTCTAGTCAGGAAAAACATGTGTTATGTAAGAGTTGTTCCATCTTTCACACCATGTTTTAAGCAAATAAAGATTCATTTCATTTTATTTTTTTTTAAATGTACCGGAAATAATGATCATTCTAAATTTGCAAAAGCAGCAAGCAAAAAATCTGAACGGTTGTCTTTTTTAATTATTGATCCTTTTTCTCTGAGACCTAAAATAAATTAAGTCAATGTATATTTTAATCTGTTCTGAGCAAATGTTTGATTTATATAAATTAACTTTGATAGTTTCATGTTGAGCCTCAAACTAAGACAAGTGAACATTAAAAAACCTGAAATCATGTTCGGAAACGCAAGCAAATCCGCTTCTAGCACTCGCCGGCCGCTGCCGCGACACGCGCGCGTCACTCGCTCGGCTCGTGCTGCTTTTTCATATATTATATAGTCTTTTGTGAAGACGGAATAAAATGACATTTGCAGGCTTGCTAGTTTTCATAAAATTTTAAATAGTTATGTAGTTATGTAGTATATATACTTTGATCGACAGATTGTCAACGGAGATAAAATTTTGCCAAAAATAACTGAATTGTGAATGTTACGACGTTCTAGTAATTACTAATTGCGTTATTGCCTTTTTTATTCTTATTTTGATAGTTGGCCTTCTAGTACCGAGATAAATTTTTGTTCATACACATTTTGACATGACTAGCCGGATTTGATTATCTATATTGAAATAAAATGAAAAACGTTAAAATAGGTCTCCTCTTTGTATTTTTCATAAACATAGTTCTAAATACAATGTATGTATGTATGAACTGACAAAAATTTACAATTAAAATGATTTTGTGCTCAGTAAATGGATAATAATGGGTCGAGGATGATTCAAATGAAACAAGTTCGGCTATTTATTCCACAAGCGTGACTATAATTCAGTCGATATATAATATTTATCGACTGCAATCACTAGCTGCTCGCAAGCGCGCAACAATTTTGCGCAATAAACTGTCATTTTAGAAAATGGAGCGTTGAAGCAAAAGCTAAAAACGCCCATTTCTCAAAAGTCATAAAATTGACATGCGTCCTTTTGAATTAGGACGGCAGTATAGGGCGTTAAAATCTCATACAGAGCGTCAATCGCGCAACAGTCTTCGTTTGTTCGACTGACAGCGCGGTTATCAATCATGCAGTACTATGTAATAATAACTTGTAAAAATTACTGCAGTAAAGTGTAAAAACAGGATTTTGTACCATATTTTCACTAAACAAATATATTGTGTTATCATAGTTATAATTGTAAAAGTGTTATTTTGTACAGTTGTATAGTATATATTTTATATATAAATTAATCGTAAATATAAATTACAAAAGCAAACAAAATAATCAAATAGCTTTTTTTTATATTTCGTTTGTATACGAGTAGGTTAACTGCGAACATTTTTTGGTGGTTTTTGTATTAGACCCGACGTCCATTTGTTAGTAGGCCAATGAGGAAAAAGCAATAATTAATAACCGGCTCTATGAAACTATATAAAGTTTTGTTTATTACATGGTTTTCACTATAAATAGTAATGAACAGAATTAGCAATAACTATTTATTACATAAGGTATTAACTAGTTATTGCTAATATAAGTACACTTACATATGTCGAGAGCGTCCAAAGGCGATGCCCCGGCCAGCAGCAGGAGAGCTACCACACACGGCACCATCTCGCGGCGCTCACTTCACCATCTCTGCTGACGCTCCGACACTGCAATAGACAACATCTATATATTTCCTGTTATATGATATAGCCGGTAGTGGATTACATCCTTACAACCCCCGTTGCACCCACTCTAAATGTCCTGAATATCACCATCATACAATGTTTCAAATAGTATATTATTGTGCTTCTTCTTCACTAAATACTGCGTGTAAAAATCACATCCGTCCACTTAATACATTACAAGTGGAGAAAAGCGACTTGTGGAAAGGATTTCTATCAAGAATGTCATGCAACTTTCCTGGACGTTCAACTCCATTTCGAAGCATAGTTAGTTAAAATGTGCAACTTATAAAGCATGCGATCTCCCAACACGTAATTTTTATAAACAGCAGAAATTTAATATTTTCATAAGCAATCGTTCTTTGCAGCGTTATTCATGAATTCCTTCACTCTTTTATGATGTGCTTCAGTATTCGATAATGAAAATATAGACAACATTAGCGAAACATTTTCGAGATTCCTTTTGTGTAAAAATATGAAGCGGAATTCCGAAACGCTCTGAACTACGTTCGCAATGAAAAGCGTACGAGATTTCGAAGATGAAAAATTAGATACATGCAGAGATTCCGAAAAGCACTTGGTGATTCTTTAATTCTTGTAATTCTTTCTGTAATAAATCTTTTGCGAATATTGGTAACAACATGATTAACAATTATTATAGCAATATTCAAATTCGTTTTTCTTATCACGTCTTGGATATAATCTGATGAGTCCAGTCTCTGCTTTATGTTGAGTGTAGTCTCGGTTTCAATATAATCCCGAAATAACGATGCCGTTTCTTTAACAAGTTATCGGAAAGTACAGACTGAAAAATTAAAGCTCAATTGCTCGAAACCTTGCCGGGAACGTAATTGGAATTTTCACAAAGCAGCAGCGCCTTCTTAAACTTTCATGTCTAATTTTAAAATAGCGTGGCGAGCGAATACGCACGGGAGCGGCTAGCGTTCGTAACAGAGAGGGTTTTTGTTATTCGTTGTAGGCAAACTCTTGAGTCTAACAAAAGAGGCCTGTAGTAGTCTAACAATAGTTCAAAGTACATCGTTAGGGGTCTGTAGTAGGTATGTCAGGTCCATGTCGTTGAAAACAAGAGCCTGTATCGAGTCAACAATTTTTTTAAATATTTGGAGTGGACCTGAGCTGTTATTATAATATCTATGACTTTCTATTTTTTTTCCGGATGCGGCCGGCGATATGCATAACGCGCATAAATGTAAATGCGTCGGTACACATAGGTCACAACTATTCTAGAAATTTTTTTAACCAATTATGACGCCATTTTCTGGTTGCAATATCTACCTATGTCCTGCTCTGAGCTGTTGCAATAGCAGACATTTATGTTGATTTAATTTTTATAGTGCCCCATACCTGTAACATACATCGATACTTCCATGTAAGTTATTCAAGTCAAAATACCATTTTTTGCTTAAATATATACTTATTTTATGTATATTATAGGTTCCATATTTGAAAGTAAACATAACATTAAGGTTAACCCTAAGTGATTTCCTTGCTTTTACATAATATGAAACCTACAATTTGCATAAAAAAGTATTTAAGTTAAAAAGCAAAAACTGGTATTCTGACTTACAACAACTTAAGTGGGAGGTATTGACATGTTACATTAGCATGGGAAAAGATTCAAACAAATTGGCAACAGATTTTCCAATACATTCGTTTCTAAATTTTGTCCTGCCATTATGCATGGTGATTGGTGCTATCGTTTCCCATTATTACCACTAGTTCTGGTGTACAGATCTGTTGACACCTACTTGTTCTATTAATAAACAGACAGTTCTCTTCACAGAACTACTGAGGACTTTTCTCTCCTAGTTCAATTTTTGGAAATTTATATCCAGTAGGTCTATATGTGAAGCTCATGATTAAAAAAAAATATTTCACACTTATAATGAGCGAATGGAATGAAACTTTGATGGCTAAACTGATCTATAATAATTTTTATAATCCAAACTTTTAAGTTTCCTCTAAAGTTAATTACTTTCTTGTCATTTTCATGAGTTCTCAAAATTAAGACTGTTCTTTGATTTAGTTCTAACTAGTATGCTCCTAACTATAATGCTGAAACAATACATTGATTTTTTATTTTTTTACTACATCATTAGTACAACAAATTCGAAATCCTTATCAGTGGAGATGTTTCTAAAATTAGTATTATATGAGATACTTCTAAAATATCTATATTTTGCTTTATGTGATATATTAACAATAATTTAATTTATAGATCAGTTAGACAACATTATAATAATGGTATAGCTTTTATTCATGATGTCCAGCTGTAATAAAATAAAAAACCACATATTCGAGAGGTACTAAATAAAGCATTAAAGATAAAAAAATACTTAGTAAAAAAATTTAACACCATCTACTTATTGTGTTTGGTTCAACAATATACAAACTTTACATACTCACACCCTATATCAATTTTACAATGATTAAAAATCAAATCAAGACTTGATACTAAATTGTGTACATTTTACAAAGAACATCAGAAATTCTATGTGGAAACATTAGACTAATAAATCTTTAACAATCTCAGTACTAGGTGTTTTGGTCATCTTTCTATATTTGCTAATACTAACATAAACAACATTTAAATACCCACTCAGGACTAAATAATTGAAACAAACGAAAACATTTTCGAAATGTGAACTCAAGGTAAAAACGCCGCACGAAAAAGTAAATAAAATAACAACTCCACAAGCGATCTCATACGAGAACAACGAGAGCCCTTCATGGCCCTTCACTCTGTTATATTTTGAGGCAGTGTTGAATGAACAAAGGAAAACAAAACAATAACGACAATTATACGAAATCAGTTTTAGAACACACTACACTAACCAATTAAGCACCCATGTAACGCACCTTCGAGTACCAGGTACAAAGGTGGGACCCGGTGAAATGGGGAGAAAATTAGCATAACTTTGTCCTTCGACGGCATATACGACCGACCATAATTTGGGAGTTTGAACACAAATTGTCAATTAGCACCAATTATCGAACTAGAGCCATCATTATAGATGATTGTTCAGTTATAATTCATCGAAATACAGGTACTAAGCGTAATAAAATAACACAACACCACTAAATAAATCGACCATTGCAAAAGCTCTTTCGAGCTTGCTTGCTTTGATATTGCATTCTAAAGACAATTGAAAACCTTGTCTATGGACCTAGCAATAGACAAACAGGGTGAAATGCCATAGAGAATAAAGATTTATGCTTCACTGTACAATGTAATCATATGACCAAATCCATCATACCCACGGATTTTTAAATTTCATAAACTGGATCGCGCACTTCGATGTACCAATATTGCAAATTTACACCTTATAGGGTCGTATTACAGAACTTACTCAATGCTCAAGTCAGGATCTGAGTATGATTTCAAGCACTGGAAATACGACCCTAAGTACGAGTAAAGTTCTGGAATACGAGCCTTAGATAGTGTCCAGTCCATTATCTTTTTCAAATTTTGCTTAAATATAATTACCTAAAAGGTAATATGCTTTTACTGTGACAATACAAAAAAAACTATATCAACAATAAAACCTTCTATTATGGTTGAAGAATATTTATTTCTCTTAAGAATATAAATTCACTTACAGAGAAAGTTTAAGATCTTCAAAACTTAATAGTAAAGCGCACTAAAATCCATACAACCATCGCCATTCACTGCGTATTAAGAAAAATAATGTAGGTAGACAAAAATTAAAATCATACGTTTTGAGTTCTTAGGTTTTCGTGATTGTTACACATAGGAAATGAAACTATCTTTCCGGATTTAAGTCGCGTATATTGTCGCGTATGTTATTTCAAACAAACCAACGTTTCGGGCCGTTTACAGGTTCCATGGTCACGGTTGACTGTCAACAACAAAAACAAATATACGCGATTTAAATCCGGAAAAATAGTTTCATTTCCTACAAACGTTTTGAGTTGAATTTATCTGCAATTATATTGCAATTATACTAATTTGTATTATGAAATAACATTAGTAGTTTTGGTCATCCATAAACGGCCACATTTTCTGTAAAAATTAAAAAGTTACATATAAGTACGCAACGTAATAAGTAATATATAAGTACGTGTTATATAACATTTCGTTCTTCTCGGGGAATTTGTCGCATGAACTAGTATTAGCAGTATTCAATCGATTTGACGATTAAAAGTGTAATTTGCTTGTAATATAGGTAGAATTTTATTGTAAAATATAGCAACAATACTTAAAATTCAAATTTTATAACTATGTTAATATTGTATTATCACATGCTGACTATTAGCATTAATTCAAAGTTTTAAAAACACTTGGCAGGACTTGAAGGATGCTTCGAATGCCACGCCATACGTAGTAATAAAACAATACGTATTAATTATTCTAACCGTACATCTTTAGACCAAGTCATAACGTGTGTCGACAGTATACAGACACAAAGCATTCAGTGTGTTACCAATTAATTATTTTAGACAAAGGAGTGTTATTTACATCTTTAATAATTTAATTTAATAAAATGGATACATTTGCATTTCACGTTTTCGGAAAATAAGTACAAAGAAATTAATCACGTAAAGCATTATGTAATTAAGATCTCAACATTGAGAAATATATATGGTATTTTTCGTTATATTTTTGATGGTATGGTACCACTAAATAAAAAAATCATACAGTATTGCCACAAAACTGAAACACATAAAATATTACTGCATAGGTCAATGATGTCTGCAGATATGTTGCAAAAGATTAGGCGCGGGAATACACGTCCTTTTCGTGTCTGATGGTCGGATCGCCTATCGGATCGGATTCATTCAATACACGTCCGGTAGGCGTCCGATTCTTTCGTCAGAATTTTCTGAACTAATTGCAGTGTTGCCAATTTACGGGGAATTCCCCAAATGCAGGGAACTTTATCTTGTAAAATTACTACTATTATCAGTCACTAACAAAAGCCTAGTTCTTAAAATAGGATGATGATGATCAGTCGGTGTGTGTTGAGCACGCGACCCTTCCTCGCGTTTTAACCGGACCCCGATGTAAAAAAAGAATACAGATGTTGCCGAACAAAGCCGAGCTGTAGGTATTTTAAAGGACTAGCCACACATTAGGGCCGTGCCCGGGACGTGGACGGGGCGTGCTAGTTTATATGAACTGCAGGCCCGTCCCGGCGCCGGCACGGACATGTGTGAACGAGTTTGTACTAAATATACCCAACGATATTTTTTGAGCTCCTGATGGAACACGGCCTGTACACGTCCTGGGTATGTGTGAATAGACCTTAATACCACAACTTATCACTCGTCAAGCTTGTTGAGTTTATTTCTAATTATAGCATAACTTATATTTATAGATGGGCACATTTTGACTTCCTTAATAATTTCATATATTTTAAGCGTAACAATAATAATATAATAAACACTGAGTGGACTATCAGATAGAAAAATCAGACATGTATTCCCGCACTAAGGGTCGTATTCTAGAACTCTACTCAATGCTCAAGTCAGGATTGCACTGGAAACACAAGCACGACCGTAATGGCAGGGACTTGAGTATGATTTCGAGTGCTTTAAACCATACTTAAATCCTGACCCTTCGAGTCGTATTCTAGAACTCTACTCAATGCTCAAGTCAGGATTGCACTGGAAACTTGAGTATGATTTCGAGTGCTTTGAATCATACTCAAATTCTGACTTGAGCATTGAGTAGAGTTCTGGAATACGACGCTTAGGGTCGTATTGCAGAACTCTACTCAATGCTCAAGTCAGGACTTGAGTATGATTTAAAGCACTAGAAATCATACTCAATTCTTTGCCATTAGGGTCGTATTTCCAGTGCTTGAAATCATACTCGAGTCCCGACGTGAGCATTACTGAGCAGAGTTCTGGAATACGATCCTTAGTACAGTAATGAGGTTTTCATTACAATTTTACTGTTTAGCAACTACTCATATATTATCATTACATAAAAATGTTGCAACTAACTCATTGGAAATTTCGAAGATCTTATTCTGTAATAATAATTATAGGCAGCATTATTATGTGGGAATTTGCTAATCCTTTTGAGTGTCAACGAAGCCATATCGGGAAATCTTAAATTCCCCAGATTACCACGTGCCCATAACGGGTTTTGAGGCGGTAAAATTCTATTATATGTTTGGTATCGATATCCGGAATCAATTTTGAGTCAAGAGCCTGTGTATTTACCCTTTAAGTCAGCATTTCCGTTTCCTCGTCGATAGTGGCGCCCTCTTTTCGTGTCTTGCTAACTTACTTGCCGCGCGGACCAGGTGACGGTTTATCATTATAGCGTCGCTTTTTCGAGCCATGTGCATGTCAGCGCTATTGCAACAAATCTACGCAAAAACATAAAACGTAATGCAAAGTCGCTGTCGGAGCGAAAGAGTCTATCGTAACCCAAAGCACTTCCCGAACAACTCGAGAAAAGCAAGTGGTCTCTCAAACAGTACCAGTGTGCGTTATATAGACTCAAATTCGCAACATTTGTAACCAGACGGATCCAAATTCTTTCAATACTTTCCAGGCACATTATTAAGCACAATATTTTCCAGACAGGTTCAATGCCGAAGTAGACGCTCTGTCGAGCCAGGAAGTCCAACCAGATTGATATCTGACACGAGCATTGGTAACGAGAATCTTTCAAATGTGGGGTACACCTGAAATAGACCTGTTCGTTAGTCGAGTAGTTCGATAGTTCTCGATGGATGTTACAGACCAGGAAGCGCAACACCACAACGCCTGTCCATCGCCGGTGGCACTGTTTCGACTACCGAATCTCATCCTCGGTCTTCGGCCACTTGAAGCAGGCCAGCGGTCAATTCATCCTGATCGCTCCGAAATGGAACAAAGTATTTTGGCGACCAGATATAATGTCGGGCACTACAATCCTTCAGTCTAATTCCAGATTTAGTCAAAGTTCTTCTAGACACGAAGACGAGCATGCACCCACCAGCAAATCAGGACCTGCAGTTGGTGGCATGGCTGATTTCGGGTGGCAAGATATGCTAACCGAATGGTATGCTCAGAAGCAAGAACTACTGATATTGAGCTGTAGGAGTTCTACGATCAACACATACCGGCCTGCGTGGAACAGATCGAGAAAAAGGCGTGAGTCCCATTACATTAATTATAAGTACCCTAATGCAGCCCAAGTAGCCGTTACCTAGCTCATTTACACTGTAATATTGGTCTGGCCTACAGAACAATTTTGGTTCACAAGTCTGTAATATCAACTTTTACACACTTAACATTTAGTATATACTTATCCTCCAACTTCTTTGTAAAAACCTGTATCTGTTGCCCAGGAAAAGCCAGCTATACCGCCAATTTGGAATCCTAAGGTTTTACATAATTATTTACGTTAATTTAATTTTGACGAAAACGATCTGTATCAAGTCTCGAGGAACACCGCTACATTATTACTGTTGGTTTCTAGGCGTAGGGATCACGACTTTACATTGTTGTGCGTTGTGTGTGAATAATACTAATTTATTAGATGGAAACAATAGCATAGTGTTATGGCATATTTTCGGTTTCAATATGGATAGTAGTAATCATAGACAATAGGGATGGAGACTTAAATAACACCCCGTTCATGAATCAAGTACAGTTTTTTTTATAAAACAGTTGCTAAAAGTATCACAAGATCGTAGGCATAATTTTGTGAATTTATTTATGGCTGCTAGAGGCGAAGTCAAACCTGCATCCAGAACAATGATTGGAGGTTGGGTTAAATCTCTTTTAAAAGAAAGTGGTATTGAAGCAACTCCTGGTTCCGTGAGGTCAGCAGTTGCGTCCCGTAATTTTGTAGAAAACATTTCCCATAGTTCAAATACTCACGACTGGAAATTGAAGAAAAATTCACACTTTTAAAAAATATTATCAAAAATAATTAATTGATAACACTTCCTTAAATAGTAACGAATCTGTTTCACTGTCAAATTATTTTGACTCGGTACGCTAATTGCGTAATTGTGTTATATTATTTATGATCGTTGAGATTAGTCATTATAACGTACACACGCCAGCACATCAAGCTACACATTGACGTATCTTGTTCCGTTGCACTGAAGGCGATTTTCGAACTAAAATGTGTAGTCTGATGTGCCGTTGTCAGTGCTTGATTATACTGCATAATACCTGTGTAGCATATCTATAAGCTACCAATCATTCAATATAATTTACCTGTTGGAATTAAAGTTGCGTATCATTAATTAAGTCCACCACATTACTCTGTCTTCCATAGCTTCTCGCACTAGCGCTACGGGTGATAACAAACAATTCACTCAGGATGTATTTCGGATATTGATACCTAACAAATAATAGAGAGACAACCAATAAAACTTACCTATTATTTTTTATCACTATCCGAAATCTATGTAAGGGTTACCTACTATGTAAGGGTTACCTGGCGCATCATGAACCATAACGACAAGCCGTCACTTCAAAGCTCCTTAAATTTAGATTAAAAAAAAAAAGCCGTCACTTGGTGAGCGCAAGTAAGTTAGTTCCAAGAGATGAAAAGAGGGCGCACTAACGGAGAAGAAACGGAAATGTTGACTTAAAGGGAAAAAGACCGGCGCTTGACTTGAGATGGATACCGGATATTGATGAAAAAATAATATGTATGTTTTATTGGTTGTTAAAACTCTGTGTTTTATTGAATTTTATTTCTATTTTTGTATGTTAAGCAAAAAAAATTGTGTTTTCCATACCTTTCGCAACAAAAATAGCTTAAATCGTGATTTTAAATTCGAATGGATTCGCGGGTTATTTTCCCGCTATTTTTTTTTTCTCTTTTGTTGGTAATTTTCGGCGTGTCATATTTTAGGGTGGCAACTGAAACTATATCTGAATTTTTTCCATCCTTTAAGATCTGAATGTACATTGCAATTGCAACACCGGCCGGCCTTTGACTTTCGTAAATCTGGAAATTCTCGTTGCCTTTCGTTCAAATAAAACTCTTCAATAACCTGTAATAACATTTCGCTACCCGAAGAGTGCCGTCAATAATAACAAAATTTGATCTTAATACCAATGGCAAACATAGCGGCCAAACGTATCAAAAGAGAATTCAAGGAGGTCGTCAAAAGTGAGGAGGTAAGATTATTTTACATCGCTAAAACTCGCAACCTGTGCTAGCATTTACTTGCACTTTGGGTTGGAATGTCACTGATCCCATAATTTCCTCTTATATCATGGTTAAATCAAGGTAAAGTGCAAAGTTCTTTGTGATAAAGTCGTGAATTTGTGTGGTGATCTGTTTTTATTGGTACAGTTTTAGAGTGAATCAGCATGTTTTTGGTGCAATCTATCGTTTATATTGTTTATTGCTGCACAACGTATTTAACGATCTCCAGTTTTTCATTTCAACATTTATGCCACACCATCTGTTGGTGTACTGCATGAATCCTATAGTTAATATTATAGAGAAATTTAATTACTCTATTTTTTATTGTGCATTTATTAGTTTTTAACGTCGAAATACTATTTTAATAAGTATTGTTATTAAGAAAAAAATTATATGTGATATGGTAGGATATCACAGGACAACAGTTAAATAATTTAGTTAACTAAAGTGTTGTGACCCACAATACTTACACATAGTATTATGCGTTTGTTTGCACCTAGGGTATCTCAATTGTTATCTTTTGACAATTGAATGATTGCTTTTTAACTGCATATAGTTCAGTAAGAGGCACGTCTTAATATTCCATACATTTTGATATGGTCAAATATATTCAAAATTTAGTAAATAACAAGCCAAAAGTGAGTATTTACTTAATGTAAAGATTAAATTTAATGTCTATTTTGCACATTCTAAATAAAGTGTACAAGCAAAACAGGTTGTGTCCCTCAGATATGCTACACAATGACATTGACTGTTGCTTTACAGACTTACATGTGTGATTGGATGCAACTCATCATAATTAATATCTTCCTGTTGTCATTTTTCTCCAAAATTCAACTGAATCACAAATTCCTTCATTCCTTACAATGATTGGGTGTTATATTAACATGTTTTTTTGAGATTGTCATTGGTTTCTATACATTTTGTAAAAAAAATTTAATATTAGCAACATTTTCAAACAAATACGATGTGGATAGACATTTTCATGTTCAAAAGATATATTTTTGATATACTGTGGGTTTGTATTTATGTATTCATGTCCTGACATCGAATATTGCACATAAATTAATTTTGAAAAAATCTGTTCTTTATTTGGCACCAGTCCAAGTAATGTACTCACTAAACAGAAAGCATCATTGTTCTTTATTTGTTTAAATAACTGTTTTTGTGAAAATATTTATGCATATGTGTCACAGCTGGCGTTGGCTCTTTTGCGAGGGTTTTATTTGCTGCATTGTTTACAGAGGACTAGAGTATTTAATTCAGCAGTCATCATGACATTTCAATATAATTTTGCTACTTTTACTGTGATGGAATTCACACAAGAGATAAAACTTGTTAAAAAATGTTAAAACATTTTAATGTTGTGAATTCGATGGTAAATAAATTTATTGTTATTAGTAATGAATGGATTTTACATACAGCCAGTGTTTTAGCCCCTTACACTTAACAAAATTCCAAAAATATTTTGATGTTACACATCACAGGTAAATCTGATTTATTTTGATGTCACTCAGGTTTGAAAATAGGCAAAAATATGTATTTGATGTTTTGCAATTAATAACAAAAACGTCGCCAGTCGACGTTAATACTTAAGAAAAATTTCAAGCTATAGTACAAGAATTTAAAAAAAAGATATGGAACTCCCTAACTAGAATTTAATAACCAAGAGAGACGCGTAGGAGCGCCAGAACAACGGATACATGATCTTGAACAGAATCAACTTGCTAAAACATTAGAAATTAACAATATAACAAATAATACCGAATATTACAACACAATCCGGAAAAAAATTCGTTAAACTGAAGGTATAGGGTCAAGAGCACGTCAAGCTTGACACTTTAGATTTAAATCCAACTTACAATAAGAACGGTCCAAAGTTCAAAGTGTCAAGCTCTTTTGTCAAGTGTTGTCAAGTTCTTTGATGTGCTCTTGACTGTACCTGGCAAATAAAGAAATAAAACATACACAAACAAAGACAGCCCTGGAATGTTAATGGTGGCATTTTATGTTGAAAACGATAAAAGCCTAGTTGGCTTGATGAAATTTGATCAACTTCTGCTGTCCCAATTTTTTTCATCTCATGCAATGAAATCATCCTTATAAGAAATTTAGTCTATCAACATTAAAAAAAATGCCAATTTTGTGAATTTTGTATGAAAACCTTTATTTTATTTTATGGAATTTGACCTACTTCTGCTGTCCCGATTATTTTTCGTCCCATACAATGAAATTATCCTTTTATGAAACTAAGTCTATATAGCACTAAAAAAAATTTTATCAATTTTATTCATTTTTATGGACACTCACCCTTGACTGAAAAATTTACTATGTCAAAATTGTTTTCATAAAAAGATACTTATGGTTCCTAAGACAGTTTCGTTGTATCTTCTTTGGTTTCAGATTTCCCTTTACTGTTCCATTTAAAAATAACACTGTATGGCACTTGTGGATAGTCAAACATATGTAAGATTTGCAATAGATAATCACATGAAATGGACAGAACACATGAATACGGTTTGTAATAAACTAAAAGTCAATCATAAAAGTGTAAAGGGCCCTAAACGTTGTTTGGTTTGTTTGAAAAACAAATTAATATATGCAATTTAGATCTGAAACAATATTTTTATTGCCTATGTGTAACAGTTGCAAAAACCTTACAACTCGAAATAAAAGTTATTCTTGTAAAATGTACTGTAATAAAAAATAAAACTTACCCTATCTTACACAACCTGTATATTACTCGAGGAATTAATTATTGAATAAAAGTCACTTCTTGTACTCCCAGTACAAGAAAAATTGAAATATATGCTACTATTTGAACACTTTTGTAATAAAAGTTTACAATCTACTTACTGTAGTGAAATAAAATGCGAAATATCTACAGTAATAAATTGGTGATAACGTCTTATCGGAATCTTTAAAATATATACATTATCTAATGAACGAAATTCCTAAAGAAATAAAAATATCGTTAAATTGTGAACAATTAAATCTAAATTAAAAAGTACTTTTAGAACAAAATATGAAAAAAATCAATACTCATCATCATCAACTGCCTCTGTGGCCAAACGGTGACCATGGAACGGTGGCAGTCCGGCTCACGCAAAGGTCACAGGTTCGATTCCCGGGCCGGGAGAATTATTTGTATGGCCTACATTCATTTCTGTCGTGAGTTTGGGTGTAATTTGTGGTTGTCTACGTGTGTCCATAGCATCCGCGACACAGGGTTAGTGCTATGTTGAGTGTGTACGTTATACGGCTAACGTTCATGATGTACATGTATTATGCAAGTAGTAGTAAAATGCGGTGGTTTTCCTATAATTCCTTCGTCATTTATATAAGTTTGTCAAGCGCCTATCTATAATATATGGGCAAAATTGTTATGCAATATTTTGTAGGAGTGAATATGAAGGCGTTTCATTATGTAAAACTTGACAATTGGAATGTAGCAGAATGAGCTTACATTTCGCCTATTTTTTATGTGTACATAATACACAGCGTAATACATAGCTAAAATTGCATTAAGTATTAATAATAGTTGGCGTGGCTACAAAGAATCCTCAGTTGCAACGCCACAGTAATTGTTTTTTTATTTCTTTTAAATTGATAGTAGTACATTCACAAAAAATACATGAATATCATGTACGTTAGCCGTACATTAGTCACAGTGGGTAATATCTTAAAAAAATATGATGGCGTGGCTATATATCATGACACCATAATACCCATTACACACACAGTAACTATCATAGTACGGTATGTGACTGTAAAGCTATTGAAAATGTAAACCAACATACTTACCTTGGTTTGGTAATTGACCATCGATTTAATTGGGGGCCGCATATAGAACTGATTTGTTCAAAATTACGAGCAATTACGGCTAAGTTTTTCTTAATACAACGTCGCGTGCCTTGTGGTGTTCTTTTACAAATGTATAAAGCTTTAGCGGAGAGTATAGTTGCATATGGATTAACTAGTTACGGTCGTACTTTCAAAACATATTTGGAAAAAATTTATAAACTTCAGCTAAGACTTTTAAAATTAATTGTACCTTATAGAATTAAAGAGCAGTTTCGAGATAATGACAAGGGTCTATTTGATTATTGCGGAGTTTTAAATGTTCAAAATAAAATTAAATGTTTACTATTAATAGATAACTTTTTAAATATATTGATAAGAAAGTTAGTCACACAAAAGGTACGAGACAAATTACTTTGCAAACCTTAATAACAACTGCTTCGCATAATTTCTATGGAGAAAGGACTACTAATTTTATTGTACCAAAATTAATTAATAATTTACCTTTAGAATTAAAGAAAAACATAACTACGGTTAATATAAAAAGTTCAATTAAAAGTTACTTTGAAAAAAAAAAAAAAATAAATAAATAAATAAATAAATGTAGTAGTATAACAATGAAACATGTAATTTCTAATTGAGATTTGTAATCTTTTGTTAGCTTATTAAATATAAGAATGTAATATTAAGATGTAATTAAGGAGAACGTGCAGCACCCGGACAAACCAATGTAGGTTTAAGGGTGTGATGTATATATATTTTTGTAATATTCTTAGTGCTTAAAATAAATAAATAAAAAAAAAAAAAACCTATATTTTAATTTCAATTAAATTTCGCATATAAATTCCGAAAAACTCGTAGGTGCGAGCCCAGTCTTTAATCCACGGCCTCAAAAAAAATTAGTACTAACATGAAATAAATGATTATTGCTATCTAAAGCCGGGTATTAACTAGCGAGCTGTAACCGTAATAGTTGCATTTTATGTTACCAAAAATCATAGACGACGATAATCAGGTACTCATACTAACGAATGAAGACTATTTCAGGCGTACCCACTAGAACGTCGTTACTGTATCTGTCACGTTACAGTTACAGCTCCTCTTAATGAATACACTTTTTTTAACGTCAGGAAATCGGCATGGATATCCTCCGCCCGGGGGAGACGAAGGGTTATGTCGGACTCCTACCGACTAAAACCTGACGGTGTTCCATCTCCTTACCATGTGCCGGAGTCACGGAGATGCTTACGCGTTCTTCCGCGGCTCTGACTGTGATTGGTCCTATTGGGCGCCGAACCCCATCTCGCTTTTCGGGAAGAGTTCTTGTCTTCCTGTCGGCAAACTTGGGAAGGAGACGTGGAACACGTACACCGCCATCTCGGATCCAATATTAACGAAGGACGGACTCCCCTAAGTCTGCCGCTCACGGACCCATGTCACGGGAGCTTTCGCCATCCGTTACCCACCTATGTCGGCAACCGGCAGTCTGTAACGAATACCCTGCTTAACATTTACTAACAATATACTAACTCCAAACTTATTATTAATATACTGTACACCCTTTATTAGAAGTGACTCGTGTTCAGCGATGGAATGTACATACAAGGGTCTGTTACAGTTTTAGTGATATTCTTTATGAATGACTCTGACGCAGACTACGAGCGATATCATCACCATAGAATCATAAATACAGTAGATGTGGTTAGTTAGTATAAGACGCGTGCCAATTGTAGGCATAGATCCACCTACTTGAGTACAGTCCGCCATTTGCGCTTTGTGCGTTATGGTTGTGTAAATCCGGAAAAATATTTTTATTTAGGAAATGTCAACCGTGAACATGGGACCTGTAAAGGGCCCGAAACGTCGGTTTGTTTGTTTGTTTGAAACAAATATACGCGATTTAAATCCGGAAAAATAGTTTCATTTCCTATTTGTAACAATCGCGAAAATCTAAGAACTCGAATAGTTTTATTTCCTATGTGTAACAAGAATTTGTTATATCTTTTTAAATTAGAAACTACGACCAATCATTATCAAGATTTCATAGTGTTTATCATTTGTTTGTATGCGTTTTGGTGACAGCGGTTCTTCCATTGTTTTTTTTCTTCCGTGGTCAACACACAGCAGTGCGAACGCACATACTACACATTGCCGTATTTTGTGCTGGAATGTTTTAGTGCTTTTGAAATGTAATATTAATTAAATTAAAAGTCTAGCTTGGCTTTTTGGCCTTAGGATCATTCTAAGCGCAAGCGGCATTGAGTTGAATTAAAATCTTAAGTGTTAAGTTTGACGTGCTCTTAACCCTGTGTCTTGTTTAAATCAAATTATATTAATATTGCTGTAGAGTTCTATTTTCACAGTATACATAATTAAGAGCATATAAATCGCTTAATGAAAACCTTATTTCAAAGAATCATTATAATTGAAATATAAACTTAATACGCCCTGTACTTACCCGTAAACAAGTGGCTTAAAATTGCTGGCAACATTTCAGGGCTTCAATAATAACAGTCATTAGAAAATAGACATATTTGAAAACTGTATGATCGACAAGCGTGTCGCACAGTGAAAGCACTAAGCCAACGAGCTTACGACGTCACAGTTACAATTTATCCACTGCCTTTCATCGTATATAATATGCTTGATCAAAGTTTACTTTGATGGTTTTTAAAATTATTTCACTACCTACGACCGCTTTTTTTTTACAATATTTTCAAAATATGACAATGTTCCGTAATATATTTGTTGATAATATTTTATTTAGGTCCTTCAAATAGGTGATCACTATTATATGTTTTTACCTTTACTTCACTATTTACAAATTGTTTTTGTACACAAATGTTAATTGTCTATATTTTTAAAAATAACTAATGGTTTTTTACACTATTCTCTAAAAACTAAACACTTTCATTATTTTTATTAAAATTATCAATGTATGTATATACCTTGTGGTGCCCTCTTGCGTGTTTCAATGTCTACAGCGAAATCCTACTTTATTTGTTGTTACTCTATAATACGGTACAACATGACTAATTTTGGACTGGATTTAGTTCTTTTTATTTTTGCATTTTGTTGACAGAGAACCTGATTTTCGATATCCATCATACCATTGGATAGTAAATAATGGTGCAAATGGTACTTGCGTGTCCCATTTATACCAGTAATGGCATAGGCGGCACTAGTTTATCTCTGTTTTACCATTAGATAATAAATAATGGTATAAGTGGTACTTACCTGTCCCACTTATACTCTTAACAGACTGAGCAACAGGTTGAGACTGTGCCACTTATATCATTAAGAGTATAAGTGGGACAGTTGGAGACCATTTATACCACTGAATTATATCATTTTAAATTTTTATTTTTATTTTAGCGTATTTATTGGAGATGGTATAACTGGTCCAAAGGCTTTCCATCGACTGCCTAATTAACAAATGCGACGTACTGTCAGCATACTTACCCAATTACTGAACTAATTTATTATTTTGATCTAAAATCTTAAGAAAAAGAAGAAATGTATTGAGTTGCATTAGACATAAAAACGCAAGCCGAGCGGATTTATTATGTAACAATGTTCTGCTATTTTTTAGGCTATTAGTGAAATTGTGTGGACCTTCAAAGACTTTGATAATGAATATAATTTGTGTCAGTTAAATGTTGCTAATATCTTGGTTCCAGATGGCAGGAGGAGCCATAAAATTGGAGCTGGTGAATGATAGTTTCACAGAGCTTCAGGGTGAGATCGCCGGACCCCCAGATACTCCTTACGAAGGAGGCACATTTTTACTGGAGATTAAAGTTCCTGAGACCTATCCCTTCAATCCTCCTAAGGTAAACTCTGTATATTACATAAAATGTTTTCAAATATTTTGCTATAAAGTTCCATTGTGTTGTATTTCAGGATTCCATAGTTCATTCGACATTTAGTTTTTTTTACTATTATGTTTTATTAATAGTGCCTTTTCTCTTAAATTTAATTTCCACAACATCGTCAAAAATTTTAATTTACTGTACTGGAAATTAGATACTGGCATGTTAGATAATGTCTGTGTTGATAATCAGACCTTGGAGCGAGGACTAAATTACCTCGTGACTGAATGGTTTCTATCTGTATCTAACATAAATCATTGTATAAAGCCGCAACTTTGATTTAGCAATTAAGTTATATATGGTGGCGTTACATATAAAATTAAGCACTTATAGTAAATATTTCATAAGGATCAGGTTGACTTGAAAACTACAAGCCCATACAAACAAATTCATTGTACGGACAACGGCACATCAGACTACCCATTTTTGTTCGAAAACCGCCTCCATTGCAACGGTACAAGATACGTCAATGTGTAGCTTGATGTGCTGGCGTGTGTACATTTAAAATGGATCGACAGTAAGCAAAACATGTTTTCGAATAAACATGCGCGCGTACGCATAGTGAACGAATAAATTTTCTAACTGACCGAGGAATATATGATTTAATATGTATTATGTAATTTTCTTAACTAAAACTTAGTATATCTTTTACAGATCCGTTTCATGACCAAGATATGGCACCCGAATGTATCATCAGTGACTGGTGCCATTTGTTTAGACATTCTCAAAGACCAATGGGCCGCCGCATTAACGCTGCGAACAGTATTGCTCTCCATCCAAGCACTGCTTTCAGCTGCTGAACCCAATGACCCTCAGGACGCGGTTGTCGCAAAACAATATAGAGAAAACCCCCAACTATTCAATTTAACAGCGAGACATTGGACTAACGTCTACGCTGGGGGCCCGACACCAATTTGGGAATTCAATCAAAAGGTGCAGCGCCTATTAGACATGGGCATCGACGAACACCAAGCGAGGGTAGCTCTGTCTACATATGATTGGGAACTCGAGCAGGCTACGGAGCAACTTTTTAGTTAGTCTTACCATACAAGCTCTATACATAATGCTACCTTTTACGGTGACTTACATAGAGCTCCATCAAATTATCACCCATTAGTAAAAAGCGTAATTAAAAATTGTTTACGTCCATTAATAGCACGCAGCTGACAGTGTTTTGTCCGCCGAGCTGATAAATCCCATACCCAAATGTACTCGTGACAGCGCAACTTGGACGACGCGCAATAATGTCCGTAATTTGCGTTGGCCTTTAGTAACACTTGTCTATTAAGGGGCACTACAGAAATTATGTGTTGTCATGTCCAATCAAATTTAATTAAGAAATTTTAATTGCTGTAAATATTTCAATGAATTAATTTTATGCAAAGCTTTAATGAGTATTGAAATTGACGCTTTCTGAAACTAGGTGATAAGGTAACATGTGTACTCATTTGTGATCCGGTTTTTCTGTAATTCTGATGATTTTATAAAATTTGTATGTTCACTTGCAATTATAGTCCATTTCACATGGGATGAGTCCTGTGCCACTTCCAATTTTTACGTTGCACTCATATCAATCTTCCAACCAGGTTACTAAAAGAAATAGTAAATTTGTCATAATGTACCAAAAACAAATATTTGTTGGAGTTGTAATTTTAAATAAAAATTAGAGTATATATAGTAGTAAGAAATTAAGTGATAAAGATGAAAATAAATTACCCCGATTACTTGTTGCGTAAACCGGTATATTTTATCCATAGAATTTACACCTTAGAATCGATAAATCGAATTTACTATGCGAGTCGTTATCTTTTGGTTTTGAGCTTTGCGTGATGTTTTTGGAGTAATTGTTCAAATTTCGTTTCGTTGCAGTTGATTTTATGCTTTGTTGACTTTTTTTGGTTGTTGATTTTTTATTTGTTGTGTAGTTTTCTTGGAAAGTGAGTAACATAATAATTGGTCCTTTCTATTTTGTTTTTTTATTTGTTCTTAAATTATTTTCTGTAAATCTATTCTTTCCTCGTTACAAATTATTTCGGATAAGGTATTTAAATCGATTTATTTTCATTCGGTTTTACATCACTACATCTCTCGAAACTTCAAATTTCAAACGTCACCAGAATCATGCTATGTGAAATGAACTATAATTTGTAAAACATCTAATCAGAGAAGTTTTAGGTGCCTACTAGAGATGAAACGGATAGTGATTAGGCCAGATACCGGATATCCGGCAAGCAACTAGACCGGACAGCCAGATATCCGGGCGCCGGATATCGTACTCACAGTCGCAAACATGTCGCGACCGGTTTATAGCGCGCATCGCCGTGATTGAATGATTAGTGAATGATTGCACTTTCACATTAATGATTTGAGTTGTGGTCACTTGGTTTTTGTTACAACTATAAATTTATTCGATAATACAACACTACAATAACAATACAAACAAATACACAACAGAAAAATGTCAACCGTGAAAAAATAGCCAATTTAGCTATACTTTAATGTCAGTGCTGTTTGTTTGTTGTTGAAACAGTTACATCATTCTTTGTCCATATTAAAATTTCTAGTTGTTATTTTATAAGTATAAGCCTAGCACTTGATATGCCCGTCAATCTTTTGTTTCAGTTAGATTTCATTAATGGTTTGATCTAACTATTCTAAAACTTTGATACTAGTTTTTGCCAAAAAAATATATCTGAATCTATTTACACGTTTCAATATTATCGTTACACATTGGTCATACGAAAACATGATTATTTTAAATCGATCATTATTTCAAGACAGTTCGAATCTATCGTGATCGCGATCCTTTCATTTGGTGGTCTGGAAGCAGTACCTAAATTTGACAAACTTTGCAAGAGTTTATAGCAAAATACTGTCCTCGGAAGCTGGTCTTGTTTATGAAAATAAACGGAACCGAGTTTTACCACTTATTGGAGAAATACTGGTTTCCATTCGCCATAATTAGCCTTTATTGAAAGTTGAGTACGAAGTTTACAGATTATGTTGTCTATTTTCATAGTTTTTTAAAGTTACAATGAACAAATTGTCAACGATCGTGTAGTTGCTATTTATTTGTCCTATTACTATCTTCTTAGCTCATATCATATCTGATTGTAAACTTTTTGATTTTTAAATATCCGGTATCCGGCCGGACATTGTCCTATTATCCGGTATACGGCCTGATAGTAATTTTACCGGATACCGGATAGTTACCGGGTATCCGTTTCATCTCTACTTAATATCTTACTAATCTGGTAAGTTTGAAAGATATTTTTTGTGTTGTTATTTTTGTAAAATTACTTTGTTCATGATTTTTAGAATAATGGCCAATTTGAAGATGGGAGACGATTTTTGCCTTTTAGGTTTGATAAGCAAATTACTTATTCATTTTAGCATAACGAGAATAAAATTTTTATACATAGCTAATCGAGATTGTACAATACGGCAATAGTTCTAGCATAAGGTAGCAATGTTATCAAACACGTCAATTACCTGATTTGAACAAAAAAATATCGAATGTGCATCCATTGCGGTTGAAGCACCGCCTTTCCTCTATCACAGTCAATCTGTACATTCTAATGTACGTACATTCGGATACACACTCGATCTGTTCTTTCACTTTGTTCGTGCGCGGCAGAATCTATGTAGGATGCGATACGAGCTCACAGTGCGGTGAATCAATCAATCAAATCAAATCAATTTAAATTCACACTCGACCGGATCACAACCAATCGGCCACTCTACCTACCCGAACTGTGTATCTTTCTGTGGGTATGTTTGCGCACGTATCGCTGATCAAGCACCTCTTACGCTGGCGCGTTCGTCCGAAAATTAATACGTTGTCGAGTCAATGGCTGTCGATTGTCGACCCCTTGCGTCTGTAGGTGCTTCTATCCTATGAATTACTAGGCGTTGCTCTCTGATAACAATCATCGATAACAATTTCTGTACTAATTCTGTATGAACTGTTATCTTCATAACCATAATCGCTCTGTTTACATACACTGTTGTAATTCATCATCATCATCATTTACAGCCTGACTTCCCCAATGCTGAGTATAGGCTTGCAAGTTTTGGTCTCTCCCCACGGTCCCGCGTCAATATCAACTGTTACAATTACTATTATAAAATACCCATTACTATAACATTAGCTATATTGATCACTGAATTGCTATTTAGATAATACTTTTTCTTAACTACTATTAACATTTCACTATGTTTTAATTCAACATTTTCTCTGATTTCCCACTGATTTCTGCTTAATCGACTGTACTAGAGTAACGGCAATAGCAGAAAGTTTCTGACTTCGTTTAAAGAGTTACGACACCTTATCAATGCGGAATCGGCTTGAGCGATCCATGTTTTACCACACTTGTCGCATTAAGCAGATTCGCCGCCGACATGGCCGTTCGGGTGTCGACGAGGTCGTTCGGGTGTTGACGAGGTCGTTTGGGTGTCGACGAGGCCGGATGTCGATGAGACCGTTTGGGTGTTAAAGCCGCCGATCACCCGACATCGGCTGCGTACAGATCATAAATTCGTAGGAAATAGATCAATGCAGCCGTCTTTTTCGCTCTTATTTCATGGAAATAAAGCTTTTTCTGACCTGCTTAATGCGATTCCGTGTCGATAATTGTGGGACTACCTTATATAAAGTTTTATTCACTTCTAGTATTCCTGAAACTGTTACTGTAGCCTGGAATTTTCACTTTCGGTTTAAATAATATCGCAGGCACTATGAAGAATATGATGCCGAAGTGCCCGCGAGCGCCCGCGAGGGCCCGGACACATCTGGCTCTCGCGGGTGCTCACAGGCACTCAAGGCACTCGCAGGCACCTAACTTATGTAAAGACTTCAAAACATTTTCGCTATATCTGGTGGAGTCGCAGCCTTACAATCTGAACAGATTGTTACATTACAGGCGAATGCTCCCGGTGAAAGAGCGACCGAATGTTACAAGTTGTATAATTAATTACAGGTTGCGCAACGAATGAATGCTCGGTTCTCAGCTGTAAAGCTCGAATTTTAACTCTTAATTACAAGCGAATGATCGCGGTTAAGGAGCGCTATATGAGGCCTTCTGTGTTCAAATCAGATAAGTGGACATCAGATTTCACAATTGACTGTTGAACATGGACGCACCTGTCGTTTCTTTGAGATATTGTGTTAAGGGTGATAAGACAAAGATCATCACAAATTACGAAGTTGTTTTTGTAACGAGCAATAAAATAATTAAATAGCCTTAAAATTAAAATTATGTAAAGTTAAATGTTATTATCAATTTTGTTGTTGGATATCCATTACGTCCACAATCCACTTAGTATTGTGATGTATGTAATATTGCCACCCTAAATAGAGCTAGTAAGAAATAGGCAAGATCGTTTATTTTTCCAATTTAGTTACATTTTGTATAGTATGTCTGATTAATTGAGGATAAGAAATGGAGATTGAATGAAATGTTGTACCTAAATAAAAGTATCGTCATAATTTGAATGTATTTTTATAATTTTATAACTCACGTCCTGATTTTTTTTCGTGTTTTACACGACTGGAGAAGATAGTGTTATAACTACTAATTAATAAGTTTAGGTATAAATTACATTTAATACCGTCACATTATAAATCAAATAATACGCACAAATGTACAATACAGCAATCCAAATATATTTTAATTATAATCGCTATGTTTTGGTGTCAGTTCTCATGAAGTCTTCCATATAGGTACCATCGTTTGATTTATCCGCTTTATTGCATAACAGTTGACGTTGAAGAGCTTGCGCTGAAGATACTGAAAAAGAATCATTGTTCTACAGCTATTTTTACAGGTATGTTAGTGTAGACCCATTAGAGACCAATTTGAGAAATTAAATTTTCTAAAATGTGTCTGGTTGGGAACTCTGTGTAGTGCCTAAGGAATGGGTATTTGGTGTGGCACATTATTATCAGTATGTTCTGTATTTTTCTCAGTCTGTAGGCTGGTTTGAACCACACTTAAACAATAAACATACTGCATTTACTTTGAAATCAAGTAAATGCAGTATGGCGTGTATCTATGTGGAGGGTGTGTAATAAGAGCCTACTTCGTCCTCGTCCATCTGCAAGAACTGTCTGACACTGCGGCATGTATTTAAAATTGCAGCTTTTTGCTTTTTATTATTATTATCTGTTTTGGACTCTTCTCTCCCATGGCCTAAAATATATTTTATTATTAATAGCGATGTGTAAACCGATGACAACTGAGTAAAACAATGTGTGCTCTAATGGCACGCAATGAAAATAGTTTTTCCGAATTTTCTTCTAAAAGATACGTAGATTTTTTCTTTTAGCATATGATTTGTATGCGCTATGCCAGTAGTACTAGTCCGATTTGAACCTTACGTAATTTTTTTCTTTTAGCATATGTTTGTTATGCGCTATGCCAGTCGTACTAGTCCGAATTAAACCTTATGCCTTCTTGTATAGAGATGTTACTTGAAATCAAGTGAACTAAACGTGTAATCACTCTTCGTACGGAAATATATTGCTCTTTCACTCATGACCTACTCAAGTCTAGTATTCATTTTGAAACGGAACATGTTTCTATGGTAGTCTTCAGGTATGACGCTAAGGCTGTCACATCTTTTAATCTTACAAATCTGTAGAACCTGTTTAAATTTTACTTTCGTTGATGTCCAAGTTGGATAGGTCCGTAATCTCAGTTCTAACAAGTATGCTTAAAGAACTTTTCATTGTTACTAATTGCAGGTTTATTACCACCGTATGTGTATGTCTTTTAATTTAGGTTTTTACCAACATTAAAAATATCAGGAATCGATTGAATTCAAGCCTTTATTTAACCATGTTTACGTACGTATGCAAGTGTTGTGTACCAACGTGCACTTGGTATAATCTTTTAGTCTGTATTTGTGGAGAGCGGCATCTAGCGGAGACCGAAGTGAACATAATAAGCTGTGTAGAACCTGTACAACTAGCTGCGCCCGCGCCGCGAACGCATCAGCAAACAGCGAACAACTTGAGCAACCAGGCGAGTGTCATTCCATTAATCAGTTCAGTCAGAGTTGTCGCTCCACCGCAGGCGGTGTTCTCGCGCACTTTTCCTTTATGATATTCAACAATTTGGGGGAAGCCGAGAACGTAACACCTCACCAGAATGTGATTAATAACAGTGCACACTTTAGTTTACTAATTCCTCTTCGTCTTTTTAAGTAACTAACGTAAATAAACTTTTTATTACTTTCTAAAACGTATTTAATTTTCCGCGTGTGTCTCGGTTCAAGCTCGCGCCAACAAAACGTGTGTGAATATAAATAAATATTATAATTTAGTGTATTTAACATGACTATATCATACGCCGGAGAAGTCCCAAATGGCAGCAGTTTCGGTTGTTTTTGGAGGATCCTTTTGAAGTAAGTTATTTCTTTGTGTAAAGGGAGAGGCAGTCGGTGTCGGACAGGTCGGTAGACGTCAATCGCTGGCAAACAGCTGTTCGGGTGGAAGATGCTCAATTTCGCATGACGAAACCGCCGCTCGATGGCCCGGAGCCGTTGTAATACACAACAATGGCACCTTTACTCCTGCCTACCCATTGTGACGTGTATCAACCATTTATAAAATAACATTTAAATCTCGCCGCCCCTTTTGTTTATGTCAAACAGTTGAAAGGTAGTTGTCATGTAAAGAGTGAGGATCAGTCGACCTTGCGGCAGCGGTGAGGTGATGAATGTGACTTATTAGAAGTGATTTATACTTAGTTTCAGTGTCTGCTTACTGCTCGCTTGGCCCTGACAACGAAAGGTGGCGAAAGTAACTGTGACGCATAGGTGTACGATACGCCAATCGATTACAGCTTAACTCGATAGTTGCGATTTCCTTGAATAGATTTATTTTACCATAAATCGTAACTATAGAATCGATTTAGTGATTTATGCTGGCTGTTAAGTTTTGTACTTACTTGATTTAACTTACAAAGCGGCGAAATAAGCTGATGCCAAGCAAGATCCAATCCAATGCAATAAAAATAAACGTTAGCCTTAATCATTATTTGAAGTCTACATTCCTAAGTGTTTTTCTTTTCGGTGAGACTCGTTGAAGGTACCGCTATGTGAGCGACAGTGATTCTATACTGCGAGGACGGAGTGAGTAGCTCTTACGTCTAGGTAGGTACTTAAATGTATTCGTTTAATAATATTTTGTTTATTTTACAAAAAAAATACGTTTTGAAATACGTGTGGCGCACTACAAGTTTCCGGAATGAATAAGAAAAAAATACTATAAATGGTCAGAAATGAATTTATTGTTTCTCAAAATATTCTCCGTTAGCGTTAAAAGCACTTTTTCATACGAATGAACCAATTTTGAAAACATTTATGCCACTCCTCCGTGACAATCTCGGAAACATATTTTTCATATTCTTCGGCAGCCTCTTCAGGTTAAGAAAATCGTTGATTAACTGGCTCTTAATTTTTGGAAATAAGTAAAAGTCACAAGTTGCCAGGTTGGGACTGAACGCGGGATGGCTCATAAGGTCAACGTTGTTCACCTTCAAAAATTAATTTGTCTGTCTGGCCGTGTGAGAACTGGCACTATCTATCTATATGTTGTTTTTACGGAGTTTGTCAATAACTTCATCACTATTCACGGTACAACGATTTTCCAAAGCAACAGTATTTACGTGTCCAGTTTTATTAAAATTATTTTTGTTAAAAAAGAAGCACTCATCGGCTTAGAGGCACTTTGCACGCGCGCCACTTTGGTTGGTTTCAGCTCATCTCGAAAGACGCTCGATTACTGCTTTGTTTTGGGATCGTAACTGTAAATCCATGTTTCGTCACCTATTACTATGTCCCACAACAAATTTGACGCCCCTTCGTTGAATCTGGTAACCTAGGCATTGCACCAAGTGACGCGATCCGTTTTTTGAGCCTCAGTCAAATTGTGTGGGATCCAGCGAGAGCACAGCTTTTTCACACCCAAATGTTTGTGTAGTATTGATTGTATTTGACTCATGCCTATACCTAAAAATGCCCGAATCTCATGGTATATCACATGCCTGTCTGTTTTGATCATACGGCGCACAGCATCGATGTTGTTCACAGCAGTGGACGGGCGACCATCACGAAATTCGTCACTGAGATTCACACGACCGCGTTTGAATTCTGAAAACCAGCTATAGATAGTCGTCTTGCATGGTGCTTCATCGCCAAAAGCAGTTTGAAGCCGAGCGAAGCTCCGCTGAGCTGTTTGATTACACTTAAAGTCGTAGAAAATCATACTACGAAAATTTTCACGAGTTAAATCCATGGCGATGTAGACGACCAATTTTTTAAAATGACGCGCCGATGTGAAAACAGTCGGATGAAACAAACTGTATTCTACAGCCAAAGAGTTCCCATTTTCAAATGTTGTAATTACTTTTTAAATATTTTTTATGTAAGTGGCCAGTTCCGCAAACTTATAGTGCATCCTATGTGTAATATAAAGGCTAACATTAGTACATTATATTCCTACTGTCAGATTAGTTCAATGTCGTCATTAGCTCTAAGTACTTAGGTTACTTTATTTCCCTGGTTGAGGAAGGTAGGCACCTTCTTGAAATTAGGTACTATTAAAGATCTGCATCAACCTTTTGTTAACTCAGTGTAAGATTTTAAGTCTTTGGGTACACGTGCGAGCATTGTTTAGTAATAGCAGCTTTCAGCTCTCTGGAGCTGGGTGCACAAGTCTCATGCCACTTAAAATCGTTCTAGAGATATCCATCAACTTGCTAAACTAAACCAGTGGGCCAATCACGAGTTTGTCATGTAAATTTGTTCTAAGGCTAATCCATGCCGAATATCTACGTGAGACGTATTTCTCGTTAAATACAACAATTTCGAATCCTGTACGCCTTTTTCCTTCCTGAATTTGCCATCTTTTAATGGTAAGATTCGAAAAGAAAACGTATCTGGCTGGACCAATCATTTAAAACCTTAGAGCATTTTAAAGCCCTTGCTAAGTTTTCGGTACAGTCGCAGTAATATAAAATCGAATTGTATATATATTTTTTTTACTATTTGCAGCTTTTTACTAACTATTATACAATACAGTAAACCGACAGAGATGAAACATTTTCCTTTTAAGCAAAATAAAGGGGGCCCCAACGTTGAAAAAAATACAATGATTTTTAATTGTTTTAGTTCCAGCTATTCAGCATTGACCTACTGTTCTAGATTAGCGTTTAACAATTAGGTATAACAGACAGTTATGGACTTTGTAGGCTTTGAAAAAAGAAACGTACGACGACGTTAACCAAAAACTTGAAAATGCCCTGAGACACGTGCTACACAACTGAAATTTGAGCATTTCGCCTACTTTGTTAGATGAGATTTACTCAATGTCCATGAATGCTGACTAATATGTATAATATTTTTTTTATATTATGTAACCTTAATTTCTTTTAATAGAATTAGTGTCATTTATGAGTTTCCACGAATACCTACACTTCATGGTGATGCAGTGCTGCATACCCACGCAAAACGATGTAATAAGCCGTGTCAAAGTTTTATCCATAACGTAGATGATGACAGAAAGTGAGATAGATAGACTACTAAAACAAAGTATAATAATTAAAGCTCGGAAAGCAGCATACTAGTCAAAACGTCTTGCCATTGGCCAACGTTTTATAAAGTTCTTAATGATACAGAAGATAAAGTATGACTATGATCAATTATTTTTGTTTTAAATTGCTCTAATGATTTTGATAAACTCAAAGAATGCATTTCGCTTTACCTTATATGAATGCTAACAATAAAGTTTTGGGAAAAAACGACATTGTTCATATATAGGATATATTAATTTATTTTATTAAATATTTTTTAATAATATATTTTATAAAATTTATTTCGAAGGATTCCAGTGCTTACATACATTATTCATTCATGTAGGTACGGTTGGTCTGTTGGCTCGAAAAGAGAGTTAAGAATTAATGAATTATTTATCGAATAACTGCTTTACATTGACTAAGTATAAAGTTTTTTATCCTTATTAGCAAAACAGATGCATTAGATTGTAACAATTAAGCATAAAGCTTTTGAAAGGAAAGTAATGAAAACGAATATGAGTAAGAGGAAAGTCAGCGCCGGCGGCGATTGCCCAAGATGCGCCCGGGTGCAATCTTACCCCGGCGCCTACTAGTAGGCAGGCAATCAAAATGGAATACTTACAGTTATATTTCGCCCAGTAATCGGAAATTCGGGTGCAAATGGAACAATAATAAATGATGCTTGGCAGCAATAGCCCGTTTACTCCTTAGAGGCGTTGCAAGAGGCATTCAGCGCCCTCTTAAGACCCTACGCCCGTATGCACATCTTACCGTATCAATGGCATATAGGTACTATATTAGTGCGGCCGTGTCATTAACATTAGTAGACGTCATGTGAAAGCTAAGCATGGTCAGCATTAAAGAATCCAGAGTAAATATTGTAGAAATAACATCATTGTGTAGTATGTGTGTTGTGACTCTTAAGAGATAAAATAATCAAATTGTATACAAGCATTGATTTAAATATAAGGAGCCGACGTTGTTTGTCTTGGCAAGTAAAGAAATGCGGAGTCTGCCTACACCACTCGCCGGCTTGACGATACACATGTAAAAAAATTTAAAGTATAATAAACAAGTAAACAACCAAAACAAACAAGCTAAATACGCAATGTCTATCCGCAGGCTGAACAACTAAATGCGCAGTAAACCTCACACTGTTTCCGTTACACTTTGATGTAAGGACCTTGTTGTAGCAAAACGACGACGTAGGCACGTGTTATGGCAAAACACTGAAAGATTGTCCTACAACAGTTATCGCTTTTGAAATCTGTGTTACGGCTATACATATATATATAGTCACAGGTATATAACGTTTTACGGAATATGGTTCAGCGATTTAATTTTTTTTTTTCATAGTTATCGCGTTTGAACCATGTTTGGACAGGTGTAATATCTTGTAATCTAGGAAGGCTAATTACTCAACGACATTATACAAAAACGTTAACAATTAATAATAAAAGAATGAAAATATGTTGTGTTCCCGCGTTTATCATCAGACGGCTGACAATCCCTCGAGTTTGTAAATTAACAGATGGTAATGCGAAGTAGCGAAAAAAACAAGTGAAAGCTTTACCTGTGAGTTCTCACGACGTTCCTTGATTTTCTGTGAGATTTCCAGACTTTTTTCTGACGTTCCGTGACTTTCCAAAAGGTCGACAATGATCCCTTCACGCAGTAACGACACCGCGATTTACTTTTTCGACATCTCATGGAAACCTCCACATTAGTTGTTCATCTACGTCGCATTCGTAAACAATACAATTTTGTATCACTTTTTAATGATACGAGTAGAATGCTGTACTAGTACTTACTAGTGGGATCCCTGTGGCTGAAATTAGTAACTACTAGTCTGCCATTCTGATTTATTCCGATAGCTTTGTTTTTATGACTAGGAGACGGTACATGTGTTGATTCTTTACATAACAACTTTGGACTTTATACGCATGAATATTTTAACCAATATGCGTGAAATATATACATCGTAAGACTTTATACACGTGGAAGCGTAAACACAGCATGAAATGTTCTGCATGTACAAGACATGGATGAATGAAGATACGTATTTATAAATTATAGAGGGATTGAGGATATTATACGAATAGCAGTTACTTTTACATACAGTATTGCATCGTGTCGCACCGTACAAAGATATGCGAAAAATACCCTCGTAACGCACGACATACGACATGGTCCGCAGTGCGCTATTGCGTATGATATCGATTATCCACGTAGATGAATCAGCGCAAGAATCCACTACATTGTGCATAATTCTAAAAGGGAAAATTATGATGAACGACAGATATTTTGCGTCCTATGCGTATTTTGTTACCGTCTGCTGTAAGTCTTTTTATAAGAAAGAGAAAAGGTAATGCCATCTTATTAAGCGTAAAATTACATCAAGGAAAAAGATCTGGACGAATTCTATCTTATTACTCATTTCACAGGGTTCCTATAAGGTGATGAGGGTACCTAAAACAACGAATTTACAAAACGGCCACGCAATGTTTTTGGTTGATAAACATAACTCAAAGGCCGCTCTAGAGGCGACACTGAAACTAGTAATTAGTAAGCAATGCTGAGGTGCTCACTATAATCGGCAAGGTTCAAAGAAGGTCGAAACGACAAAATCTGACGGCTCTTAATTTGGTATTCTGCAAGTAAAAAGCTAATGCTATAATAATGTGGGTGCGCATAGCGTATTAGCAAATTCCGCTACATTGCAACGTGCCTTTTATCAAATCATGGTCGAGGCAAGGGAAAAATTATCCTCAATCCTTATGCAGCGCGAGTATTATTCGTAATCGTGTCGCACCATAAACACTTGCATTCAACACCCGACGATTGATTTACTGCAGTTTAAGACTGATACTGTATCAGTGATACATAGGCAGGTGAACAGTATGGAATTATCTCATCTATATAGAACCTTTAAAGACTGTCTATAAATGTCTTTGAGTTGTTCTCAGTGCATAATATAGCATGCTCGATATTCACGTGTAATATATGAGTGGTTGATATTGCATTAATAGCGGTAGTGCATATGTAGGTCATGTTCTACGGTAACATTTATTCAACGCGCAAGGTCCAAAACGAACAGGTATTGGCACTTCTCACCGAGTAATTAATATGACTGGCATTACATATTTTATAAAAAATATACTTAACATTTTAGTCAAATTCTTATGTTTTCACGATTGTTACACATAAGAAATGACCATTTTTTCGGATTTAAATCGCGTGATTACATTTGTTATTTCAAACAAATGAATGTTTCGGGCCCTTTACAGGTCCCTTGGTCATGGTCAATCGTGAAATAGTTACATTTTCTATTTTAGTCAAATTGTACAAAAATTCTTCTCCGAAAAATTCAATTAAGCATTATTGTTATTACATTGTTTTATATGTGAAAAAACAAGATTTTTTAATTTCATTTCGGAAAGTGTTCTATACCTGTTCAAAGATCTCTGTAGTCGTAAAACTCCATTGGCTGCAGAGGCATTGGGAGTTATCACGGCTTAAACCCTATTCTTAGATATTTTCCTGCCCAGCAGTGGGATGTATGCGGGTTGATGATGACATAGTAGGTGCTACAATTAACAAATTAAATTGACTCAGTGGTACAGGCCCCCGATGGAAATGAGCCCAGGGACTTCAACATATAAAGTGATTAAAATTGAAACGACACATGTAATACAATTTGTTACTTTTAAGATAACTAAAAATACTATACCACAAAATAACATTAACTTTTAGGACGGACCAGAATAATTACGACCTATGAAAGTATTCGAGTTCTCATTGCTCCCGTTCTATAAATGAACTTATATAGAATTTAAGACTGTCAAGTTGAAACAGGACTGGGTTGGACACATCACTCGCATACACCCATAGAAATGGGCTCACCCAACCACTTGGCTAGAGACGACGAGAAGCGGATCAAGAAGGGAATGGCGGGATGACTTGGACGCATATGTAATGGACTAGTCTAACGTTGCGTCAAAAAGGGAGCTGTGGAAGTCTAGAGGAGAGTTCTTTGCCCAGCAGTGCAAATAAGTTACTTTTATAAATGCACCCAATCCCCCTGCTAATGCTTCTAACTACCGGTTGAGTAGCAACCTAGCTGGAATACAACCGAAGGCGGAACAGCGGTATTGGTGTGATGTATAAATTATGTGGCGGTAATATTCCAACTGCGGTGCTTAGATACTAATTAAGGGCGCTTAATGAGCCGTCAAGTATTACAAGCGTTGTATGTCTTTAAAATTATATTAATGATCATGTACGTAATAAGTAAAACATGGACAAAACTTATTGAGCATAAAACCTGAACTACTGTTGCGTACAGCGCAGCCCGAACATAATTATGTTCTGAACACAATGATTAATTATAAATTGAACAAAAATATCACAATTAAGCGTACAATTATACACTTTTTGTTTTTTCAATCTCATCCATAGTTCGAAACGAGTTTGGTGCACGCTGTGAGGATGTTTACCAGTGGATTTGATTTTTTTTTAAGTTACAAAAACCCGCTCACCGGCGTCGTGATGGGATCAGTGTTATAAATGGGCTATTGTAAGCATATACGAGTCAGGATTTTAAAGATATTATATTATATTGTAAATTACTAAAATGAAATAATGTCGATAAGATACTTATGAATAAGTAGATCACTAAATTTTTTTGACATCTACCGGGTACAAAGTTCAGTATTATGTTAATAGATGGTTCTGTGGTGGCAAGGCGATAAAAATAAAGAAAGGAATTAATAATTCCTAATAAAAATTATTATCAATTATTTACATTAACGAAGCGTACCTTTACCGACTGTCCTTTTCCTCCATGGTCTGACTAATGTGTGCAAGTGAGTCTTAGGCCCCGTTCACGCTTACAACTACAAGAATTTTATTCATAAGTAGCCGTAGGCGTTCACATGCTGACACGAATTACAGACTTGTCATCTGAACCGGCCCTTAAAGCGTTTCTCAGTTTACGCAAATGTCATTGCGATCTTGTACAGATTTGCCAACACAAACAAACCTACATCATAGCCTACATGTATTGTGTGTCGCTTGATAGTTTGTTAACGCGAAAGAGATATGTCATGTGTCCAACGAAAGTATAATGGTTGTTGCTACTGCATAAACTTATTATTGAAGCGGTAATGATGAAAATGATGAATCGGCTGGTAGCAAAGCGTTAAATGTTGTTGAATATCGTATTTAAATGTAAATATATATTGTTATCTCCATAATAAAGAAAAAATATCATAAGTACTGGCAAAAAATACATTTTTTTTTCAATTGTTCGATGTTTTAAGGATACTTGCTTTCAGAACAGGTTGTTTTTTGTTCATATTAATTAATTAACCTTAACATTTATTTTTTTATAGATGGCGAGGCAGTGTTTACAAGCTAGTATGGCGCGAGTTGCTAGCATACCTCACACTGTATTACACCATCAATTTGTTGTATCGATTCGCGCTTACCGAGCAGCAACAGAGGTAAGTAATTCAAAGGATTATCAAATAGTATTTACTTATTCTACTGCCGAAAACTTTCTGGGGTCTTAGTGTAAGCTTTCAAATATGTAAACTTAACTATCCCGTTTGCGGTAAGATTTTAATTTAAACTTTATATATATAAGAGACATGGACACTGATAGTCGTCGATATGCAGAGAATTGACGCTATATGTCTTCAACTTGCATGCAGCGTGTGATATGCTATTTTGGTCACGTGTGACGTAGAGATGCTGATAATCTGGAAAGTTTGTTGGTGACAGGGAAGGTGGAGGTAAAGAGACCTATAAGCAGGAATCCCAAAAGGGCGTTTGTAGGAACCCGGAACAGCCCAAATGCGAGGTTCCTGCAGTTTCCGCAGTAAAAGGAGGCCCGGGTTCATTTGCACCTCGAGAGATGGCATTAAATTTGTGTCGTCTGAACCCGAATTCATTTTCGATAGATGTTGGTACATATTTTTGCTATAAGGCAGTGGGCATAAACACTAGAGCCGCAATGTCCTATAAACAACAATAAAAAATCAAGCACCATTTTGCCACTTTAAAGACTAGCTTCGAAACTGATTAAAATTTCAGAGAAAAACATAACCCGGGACAATTTTACAAACAAATTTAATTTTTTTTGATAAGCAACCAGTCCCGGGATCATACGACACTCGCAATTGGGCTCGTTCGGGTCCCGTAACAAATTTAAACCGACCCCGGGTTCAGATGCTACAAACCCCCAAAAGGTGGTTGGATCAGATCAGATCTCCGAACAACTGATGGTACACCATGCGACTAGCGCAACCGACGGAGGCAAATGGCTGGCAGGATGAAGTAGAGCCAGGGTCATCAGCAGTGAGGAAGCGATTAAGAAGAAGAAACATATAATTTAGCTCTAAACTAAAACTTTAATGTAGTTAAGTTTGAAAGATTACATATTTACATTCGGGCCTCTGTGTATTATGTATAAGTATATACCTATACGAAATATAACGAGAATCAGGTGGTAGGAGACGATAATGTCTTCAAATTATTTTAAACGACCTGCCGCAGCCGCGGCTAGCGTATACGCTGCTATACCGGACAAATTAATTCGTTCCGTGGATGATTAGAATTTAGTGCACTTGACAATTTTTAAGTAAATTTACGTTTTTTCGTGAATTTGTATCGCCATATCGTTTTTTGCGCTTAAGATTTCCCGTCGGAAATATTTTCCCATCGATGTTGCGGTAATTATATCGGTAGGTACTTACTGTTCTGCAATTTGCTATTCAATCAAAAATGTATAGAGGAAAAGGGATACAAAAATGTTTAATAAGTGCAGAAGTAAACGTATGAATAACCATTTGAGAATTTTATTAATTCGAGAAACCAACACACGAACAGAAAAAAAATGTTTAATTAAACGTAGGTAATTTCTACCTCTTAATTTATATTAGAATTGTTGGAAATTTCTTATGGTTTACCAGCACCAATAATTTCTATGTTAGAATAGTTGATATAATAGGTTCCAATATTTTTACATCTTTTTCAACCGGTATCTAAATAAATAAACTGGCAAAGTCCACAAATTCATATTAAATGTACAACAGTGATTGAAATAAGTTTTGAATCTCTTCACAGCATTGTGCCTTTTCAGATCTTATGGGAATATCACTTGTGTACATTGTACTTATTCTAAACTTTTCGAGAAGTTTACAAATTATTGCTTCTGTAATGTACCCAAGGCTGTTTCCTTTGGGAATTTGTAATCATTGCTTCTTACTTCCTTTTACAAGGCAATAAAGGTGATTGAATACATAATTGGTGCTGTTTTTTCGTGTTAAGGCATAAACTGCAAATTCTTGCACATTTGTGACTACGTAATATTAAGTGCATCACCGTTCTTGCTCGCCAACAATGAAGATAAAGCTAGGGCTTTTGTGTATACCGAGTCTGACTGTGGTAATGTGCTCCACCTAGAGTGTATATATGTGTCGCCTGACTACGAAAACTAACCTTTGTTTAGCGAAATGTTCCGCATGTCATACACTACATACACCATGACGTCATCAATAATTCAATAGGACGGACACTAGCCGCCTTACGTACACATTATAAAAACTAAACGGAACGACTTGTGGTAACTTAGTTTCTGAAGTGAATATATCAACGACATCACACAGTCAGTGTCCTAAACTCGATAACTTGCTACAAAATCCATCAAGAGGCACCACTTTGCACAATTACGTTGTGGAACATGATGATGGTCTGAAAAGTAGTGGGTTTTTTGTTGCTTTACGTAATATAAAAAAAATATATTTTTTTATTATATATATACACATTTGTATATATACACAAATTTTTATTTATACTTACTTACGACCTGCAGCAGGGAAGTACCGGTTTGAAACAACCGGCATAGTTAGTACCCACGACCTTTTATTGTGCAATTTTGTTTTTTTTTATTGGACGTTGTTACCCCCCATAATAAATTTATATTAATGATGACCTCGTCATTTTGTTTTAATAATAAAAGGGACGAACGTCACAGTATTTTGTTATTGTCATTTTGAGTATAGCCTGAACCTATTGCTTTTTTTTCTATTCCAAATGGTTGACTGGTAGGGAATATCATTAAGTTCGTCATTTTACTTTATTGTATGTTGCAAAAAAGTTTAAATAAATAGAATATAAGATAGTACTTAAAATTACCAACCGAGTCACCAAATGTTACAAACAATCTGTTGCAGTAACATAAAATGTCTATAAAACACTAAGACGGTTCTAGAAATAAAAAACAACTAGTTCTCTCATAAGTTCCCTTTTGTAAACAATACTGTAGTCGTCACGAATAAAAGAACAAAATAAAATTAGATAGGTAAAGTGCGTACCAACAATAAAAACGTAATTAGGTACATAATAATACTATATGTTGTAGAACTCATGAGGTAAGGACGAAAGACGCATCATCATTATAGACCCTGATTTACATACAGCGTTATTGGCACTCAGTTGAGTAAGTAATACATTGTTGTCGATACGGTTGATGTCAATGTAATCTGTACGTTATTAAAACAAAAATGTATTCCTTAGTTCAGAGCTGGCTTTTTTGTAATGCCCAGTGACGGGACGAGTAAGTCGTGCGCCTGGTTGATTGAACAACGATACGCCTGTTCATAGAGCTTTAAATCGCAAAGATCTGAGAGACCCTGCCACTGCGCCTGTCACCCAGAGACATAAGTTGACAAGTCTCATGTGCCTACAATTTTCATCAGCACCCTTACCCTTAAAAACCGGAACGCAGTAAAGCTCACAGCACCGCTTGGAGGCAGACATAGGCAAGGCGGCGGCAGTACTTCCCTGGACGAAATCTTTCACAACCAGCTCCACTGCTACTAAAATATTAGTCAACGCCCATAGACTACATACTTTTAGACAGCTTTTTTTTTATTGGAAGAACGGAAGGACGGCTGTCCTATAGAACTAAAATAAAAGGTCAATAATATTGGAGATTGGATAAAAACTTCAATAATATTGGAGAGCCAAATTTAGGACTTCACCAATAGACACACATTAAGTTGAAATTAATGAGCCTTAAATTATAATTATATAACTATTTAACATACTAAGACAAATTCGCAACACCGATAAAACAAATACCTACACGCCAAAAAACAAATTACTATAAAAGCATTACCGATGCAACACTGGAGTTAAAAAGGTCAATATCAACCTGGTTGGACAATACATTAAAGCTATATTACTATAGGTACACATGAGACGAGTTAATTTATAAGGTATTCATTTATAATGTGTTACTTGACAGCACTATCTAACGTTGAACATCCTGTCCTTTTCTTTGTGATAACGAAAGAGCTGCACTGAATTTTAATTAAGTTTAGTTTGCGTAGGCGTGAATCGACTTGATACTACTTATGCAAACGTACAGCATTTTGGCTTGTACGTAATTATATTTCTTACGAATTTGAAACTTATATTCTGAGTACCTGATACTTACTCACGAATGAAGCAATATTGAAGTTTTAAACTTAGTCATTTAGCTGCAGGACCCTAAAAAGTCTCATGTTTCGCGGTTCATCAGTCGCATTGTAATAATAATGGCGTTGGCGATGGCGCCCGTGACTGCCATCCGCAGATCGCATGACTCCCACCAATGCCAACCAACACAATTGAATTCGTTCAATACTTATTTACGAAGACTGAAATTCTTTATGAACAGAATAGTTAAATCCTAGTGTAAATTAGCAGACCTAGACATGAGAGACATTACAGTACAACTACTATTTTTTACAGAAATAGTATGAAGCGGTTTTCTAACCAAGAAGCGCAACTTCCCTGGCTATAAAACCGCTTTATTATGATATGATTTTAAAAAATCAATCTATTTTATGTTATGTACACTCGTTTACCTTGATTTAAAACAAGAAATTTAAGAACGCCACCAAATGATTGAGGATAAATATGAAAATAAAGTAGAATGTGTTCTGGCAAAACAAAAACTTAGATACGCATTTTTGGAGTTTCATTTTAGCGTGAGCTGTGATTAGATTTGATTATGACCATAAATGCACTTTTTGGTTGCAGTAATGTTTTTTAAACCATCATCACTAAAATTTGCAATCAGGATTGCAATATTATTTTATACTCTTGCTTCATTATGAAACCTTTTCCGTCTTTGTATGTAAGTATTTCTTAATGAATAAAATTCCAAATATTTCCTACCTCATAAATAAGACAAAAGGTCAAAGTATATCTACAATATGTCTACTTATTACTAGTCTATATAATATATACATTTATTTACATGTTACTTATACCTACTCGCCTACAAAAACAAGATTTAAACTCGAATTAATAGTACTAATTTTAAGCCAATATAGTGACCTCCACCTTTCATTCGTTATTTTTAAAGCACTCTTTTACTGGTATCTACGTCATTATTGTGCCGTAATATAGTAACAATTGATTTCACAACAGTTTACCACAAACACCGTTGGATTTCACTTGTTTGAACTCTCACTGCGTTGCAGTTTAGCCTACCAGTCCCTTTAAATTAAATGACACGACTTTTAGATTTGATCACGACACAATTGCCGCCACACAGTAGTGGTAAGGTTACTTATTAAAAGTATTTACTTTAAAACTGCTCTAAACAATCATGAAATCGATTCACTAGGATAGTTGCAGGTTGTGACAACTCTATAGCGTAAATAGCTGCAAGGGTAAACAACTACGACGTAACGTATAGTAATTCAAATATAATCCCCATTAGATGAACTCAAACGTTGAGTTCATCCAATGAGGTTTTTTCCCCTTTAGGAAAGGAGTAATGTTCGTGCAGAATCAGGCTTAGATTTTGAAAAATAACGTACCAATAACAATATTAACGTGACATTAGATGTGTTTTTTAAAGGGTTCATTAGTTACTTTGTTATAAGACCCTTCCACTTTTAATCACAATCGCAAGTTCTCGACACGTGTTCCGCGTACATTAAATTATAACCATGACCATGACAAAGATTTCAATCACTTTTCCAAGGACGTCGAATTGTGTAAAATATACAATTTAATTGATATACAGGTGTTTGTTTTTAATCAGCATAGTATGGGGAAATCTGAAACTATAGAAAATACAGGGAAACTATCGTATGAACATTAGTCTTCTTTGTGAAAATAATTTCGGCATAGTCAATTTTTGGCCAAGCGCGAGTTGTCCATAAAAATGAATAAAATTGTTTTTTTTTAATGCTGATCGACTCAGTTTCATATAAGGATAATTTTAGTAATTAAAGAAAAACTCGGTGCAGTAGAAGTTGGTTAAAAATAAAATAATTTTCACACAAAATGAATAAAATTTACTATTTTTTCAATGCTGATAGATTGAGTTTCATGTAAGGATCATTTTATTGTATTGATTGGAAGAAAAAAACCGTGATTTGGAAAACATTTTATTAAATTTGACAAACTTCTGCTGTCCCAATTTTTTTCTTCCAATATAATAAAAGGATCCATACATGAAACTGAGTCGATCAACAATAAAAAAATTAATCAATTTTACTCATTCGCTTGACCAAAAAAGTTACTGTGCCAAAATTATTTTCACAAAAAAGGACTTAATGGACCCTGGCAGTTTCCCAGTACAACTCCTATGGTTTCGGATTTCTCCATACTGCCCTAGTTAAACAAGCACACTGTACCTATATTATTTAGAGTTTATATTACTTTGTTTTGGTATTTCTTTCACACATTATTTCATCTTGTATTTACCACTTCTAAAGATGGTTCACGTGCACACAGTGCACCCACTACTGTATCACTTCATCAATAATCATCGCCATAACAGATGCACGCTTGTCCACGAGCGAGACGATTAATGACGAACAATGGTACGCGGGTCTTGAAAATGCCTATCCGCTCTGGCCTGGATAGTCCCAAATAGTACTTTACGAGAAACACAGATGTAGTAGTAGTGTGTTCCATTCCATGGTTGGAGGAACGTTTCGTGCAAATAGCTGGTGTATTGATTATGAGGGAATATAACACATCTGGAGTGTTCCATACATGTTGTATGCGCAGTATTCCATTTACCTGTTGTATGTAGTATTTGTGTTACTGTACATTATCAACTAAAACAAATTGTAATATGAGTAGTGTTGACTCAGCGTTCCTAGTTTTATAACTTATAAGTATATAATTTTAAAAATATTTACATATTTCTATATATCGTCTATTCATGTCAACACAATTAATAAAATCATCAAGCACCAAAGTCTGGACTTTTCATATTTTAAAGTAAAAGTCAGTGCCACCTGAACCTCAAAACATCACTTTTTGAATTTTAGTCTATTTGTCTGTGCGTTTGTGCACGCTAATCTCCAGAATGGTTAAACCAATTTAGATGTAATTGATTTAGTGTTCGTTTCATTGAAATCGGTTGACACAAAACAAAAATAATATGTCAATTTTAAAGTGTCTCGCTCGGGTACGACATTGACCAAGTGTTGTATGTACATAAAAATACAGAGATGCTAAAATATTAGTTGTGAGTAGACCTACAACAGGTTATGCCTAGCTTTTATATTTAAACCACAATAACGGTTTTAACGATAAAAATAAAACGATTGCCTGGTGTGGATCTCAGTAGGAGCTGCTTTTCGGATGGCCTACTCTGCGCGGCCCCATTGCGTGTAACTCAAGAAATCTGTATGCATTAGCTACGTCATTATCCCCGATGGCTGTACTTCCAATCGTAGGAAAGAATTGCTGCGAGGAATATGTATGTAATAAATAAGTAACCGACAGAGTTTCTTTTTTATTATATTAGTACGATCTGTGCATATGAAATCGCGGGCACAACTAGTAATATGTATATAATGCATCCGACAATGCATAGCAAAACTATGTTATAAATAAATCTGTATAATTGTGATTCTTGTTCTACATAACGTGTCGATCATCGTGGTGAAAGGATTTGCACCAGACCTACAGTAAAAGAATGGTAGGTACGTCGTGCGGCGAGGCTCAATTCATGCACCCCTAATAATTGTGATTGTAAACATACATGATAAAAAAATGGACATGACAGGCTTTCTTATAACTTTGGTTTTCTTGTCGCACCACAACAATATTATTGCATTAGGAGTTTTTGACAGAAAAATCTGTTAGTCTGGAAACTTTCATTGGTACTGATGATAACATGCGAAACTAAAATAAATTTAAATCCCTACCAACCTCAAATTATTCCAAGCCTGAAATATTTCCGTTTAATTTTGAGTCATTCATACCTTACATATTTATTGCTCGTGAAGTTAATTTTTCATAAGTGGACTCACTTTTCTAATAGCTAAATTATTTTAAGGATTAGAAAAATAAGTTCGAAACAGCCATTGACATAATCACTCGCACACATATACACACATTGACGGTTGCGGTGTGATAAAATATTTTAATTCCTGTGCCCTAGGTTTTATATATATGTCGCAGTCAATGGCGTAATAAGCTGCATTACAAATCGTCTGACCGATTTACGAAACGGCGCTGTTTTGTAAAGCGGCTGACTGTCAGGTGGAATGTCCTTAGATATATTGAATAAAACCATAATAAAACAGTGGCTTACGCTAATATTAAATCGAATTCAAATACAATTGTCTAAAAACTTATCTTTTATAGCGGTGCGGCGTGCAGATAGTGGTACGTTTCGCCCTGTGACTTATTTTTTTCTTTACATTACTACTAGAATATTTAAAACCAATAAGAAGTTATTTATGGTAGGAATAAATTTATTCAAAGTTAATAACGTAAGTAAATGTGTCTAAAGATTTTACTCATAAAAAAGGAATACAAAATATATTCGTGAATTTGGCCTTTAATTTTGTTTCAATCAATAACAACAAATATTTAACGCTCCTAAGAAGAACCCGCATTTTGTTAAAATTGTAACGAAACAATTGATTTCGCATTCGCATGCTATCCCTATATGCTCTAAGCATGCTATTATGGAATTAACTCCGCTCAACATTTTAATTAAAACCAAACTTGTGGAATATACGATGAATATAAGATGCGCTGTTTTCTCACAAATGTATCTAGAACCAAAAAAATCATGAATTGCATAACTACAAACAGACGTGGCGAGGGTTTAACCGACACGATTTTGTGCTAACCTGTTTTTTGTCCTAGTTAAACAATGTTCTATTATGGTTACAAAATTCGTATATAACGATAATTTTTACCATATTTTTGGTGATATAGAATGAAGTCGAAACAATGCAACATACAAGGAACACAAAAACTTTTGTAATGTTTACAGAAAACCCTCTCACATGATACCCCTTGATATTTCAATTTGTTTTTTTAATACACAATTTTTTTGAAGTAGCAGTCGAGAAACTTTGAAAGATTTTCTTCATACATGTACAAATATGGCAAATTTGATGTCTGTACCGATCTATAATGCTAATTCAAGCACATATTTAATCCTGGCCAGTTATTAAACAATGAATTCCACCATAAAACCATATTAATATATTTGGGGACAATTGTTTGTGCTTTTAACGTAAATATTTCATTATTTTTCACAGAATATTTGAGAAAGTTCGACAGTACTTCGGGGCACAGAGCGAGTCGATCCCTATGTCGTTCGTACTCGGATTCTACGTTAGCCTCATAGTAAAAAGGTGGTGGGAGCAGTACAAACTTCTACCATGGCCAGACACATTGGCCCTATTCATCTCCGCTGGCATACCTGGAGCGGTAAGTACTATAATACATACTTACATTGTGTAAGTTTTCATAAACTGTACTTTGTTTTGCCTTACCGGTTTCAAGACATACTTAACATATGTATGTAGGTGAAAAAAAGTTTATTTTAACTGAGGCTGCTGACAGATTGCTTGCAGTTCGATCTCGGCTTCATGAAGTCGGTTTCAATTGCATGTAGTCGGGGTTTCGGATAGCGAAGTCGGTTTCAACTTCATGCAGTTGAGGACTCGGATAACGACTCACGCATTACTGCATGCAGTCGAAATCGACAGTGTGCAGTTAATGTGTGAAGTCGTTATTAACTTCATGCAGTCGTGGTCTCGGCTACAGAAGTAGATTGCGACTTCACGCATTAACTGTAAACATGCAGTCAATCTGTTAGCAGCCTAAGCTGAGAACCGACCTTATAGAAAGTTCTTGAGTGTATGTTGAAATAGAAGTCGAATCGGTGCATTGCGTTGCGAAAAATGCTAAAGGATTACTCCTTTTCATTATTTTCTTGTTATTTATGAAATTGTGTTTGCCCAAAACATCAATTGCGCTAGCGAATAAATTTGTCCAATGCGAATGCTGTAGCGACTATTATTGTTCTATAGGGCCTAGTTTAGAGAATGAATTCATTATTGTATAAGAAGGACGGATTTCAAGACTCGCGTTTCACACACTTCGTCACTCTATTATAATATCATCATCATTTAGTAGCAGTAGAGCTCCTTGTGAAAGAGTTCGTCCAGGCAAGTTCTATTTCTGCCGCATAGCAGTAATGTCACCATTACTGTGTTCCGGTTTTGAAGGGTAAGGGTGCTGGTGAAATTACAGGCACAAGGGACTTGTCAACTCATGTATCAGGGTGACGAACGCATTAGCATTGCCCCTCACATCTTTGTAATTTAAAGCTCTGAGCAGCATTGCAACTGTTATGGACAGGCGTGTAGCTTACCATCAGGCGCACGACTTGTTCGTTCCGTCATTTGATATTATTAAAAAATCGTTGTCGTCAAAAACTTCAAAGTACATACGTAGATGTCGTAGATTGTCGATTAAATTGGATCATTATTGGTATTCCTCCCTTTCGCTATATTGTGTAAGTGGACACTTGGTTTATTAATATGAAAATGTGTATCGATTTTTTTCTTCGTAATTCGATTTGTATAATTAGACGAAAGGACATTAAGTAGGATCAAAATGTGATATTAATATTAATAAAATGTAATATTTAAAGTATTCTCTAGATGAATTATACTTCATACAATACGCTATTTTTCGAATGTACTTTGTTCAATGTAATGTTAATGTACCGTGGGGAAGATGACTCATCCAGTCATAATTAGTTTGTCAAGTAACACCAAGGTAACTTGGTTGCATCTTTTTCCTTAATTTGTTAGAATATTTAGAATGAAAATGTATTAGATGTTTTCCAATGTCGCCGTTATTCCAGTGCAGAGAAACCAACATAAATCCTTGTATGGCTTCCTCGAATTGTATAGTATAATATATACATACTTGTAATATATATACTCCACACATTCCACAGAAACAATAGTAAAAACAAGTATAGATGATATTAACATCCTATACCAAGTTCAGGAACTTTTCCACCTGGATGAACTTAGCAGAGGCAGACTAATTTCATTCAACAAAAAACCTGTCAAGTTCGCCGGTTAAAAGTGATAAATAGGATGTATGGTTGACATAATGAAGATAGATTTGGATTTATAAACGCAAATAAATCGTATTACAATTTATACAATCTTTAAAACTGGCTCAAATAAGCTGTGTGAAAATGATAGCATTTATTTAGAAGTTTATTATTTATAAGTTTACCTATTACGATAGATAGATATTTCTATTACGAAAGGTACTGCAATTTTTATGCTGTATATTTGTCTGCATTAGCGTTTGCTATTACGCAAATAAAGTGTAAGTATATTTTTTGACAGTATGCTTTATGAAATAATTAGATAATATTAAAACAACACAACAAAAATGAAAAATATTGAGATTGTCAAACAAAAATGATATGTATATAATCTCAGTACAGAGTACTAAAAAACTGACCTCAAAAGTACGTGGAATTACATTTAATTACCAAGTTTTATTGAAATCGGTTACCGGAAAGTGCGCAAACCCGGATTCATCCCCTAGTTCGCCACTATACGGGACTTGACACTGGAGATAATAAAAAATCGGTTCTTACTACTCAAAGTATATTGAGAGAGAAAAACGCCTTGAATTGGAGAATAGCAAAATCAATCATTCAAATAATTGCTCCTTATAATAAAATTTGGCGCTATTGTGCCTAGGCGTCGAGTTGCGGACACCAGCCCGTTACACCAAGTACCAAGTACATGATAGAATGTACTTTATCCGATCATATAAAATACTGAAAATAGGCTAAAATAGAAGTCTAAAATGAAAAACGAATTCTAATTATTCAAGAATAAAATATCTAACTTTGTACAAAATTTTTATATGGAAATATTTGTCATTAAGCACTACAGAGAACCTGCTAAATTTTGGTTTTCAACCGAAGGCCTATTAGTAATTAAATTCACATTTGTCCCAAAAGTTGCAAATTACCCTGCGGTTTGATGACACGCCGCACCGCCAGCTGCACCGTCTGTCGCCATCATTGGGCGCTTGTCGACGTCGGCTCTGTGTCAAATTTTCTCCTTTCCACATTAATCTACAGCGCGCGGATTGTGAGACGCGAGGATTGATCCCTCCCCCACACCGCACCTGCTAACTAGGCTCGTTTTAATATAACATAATATCGTCTGCTTAAGGGTAAAACCACTTAGGTGGCATTTTCCACAAAAAATCTCCAAATTATGTACATAATGTAAAAAAATCACCATCTTTCAGCGGATAAAACTCTTATTGAGTTTATAGCTGTTTTGTTATTGAGTTTCATGTGCAGAAAGATAGTGATTTTCCTACCATAGCTATTTATATTAAAGACTGTTTGTTAAAATGTCACCTCTGTAGTTTTACCTTTAAACAGATGATATGAAGGCGTAGGTATACTATAAGTCTTGATAATATGTATGTAAAAATTATGTTGGAGGTGGGTACTATTTTTTCTGTTATAATTCTGTGTTGTGACACTATAGAGCTTTATACAACGACAAAGCACCTATGTTATAATAAATGATTTATGTGTTATGATGGTTATAAATGACAACAAAACTTGGCCATTGTAACTATACGACACTTAAACCGAGTTTCCTCAATACAGTATCAGAATAAAGTAGTGCCGTGTTTTACACCATATCATATCGGTTTCATTACAATTCGTGTCGATAGACCGCTGGAAATATCAATTACTGAGAATTACATATACTTCTCAGAATGCGAGTAATAAATACAACATTTAAAAAATATGTATGTAATTTGTACCTACTAACTTAAATGAAAAAGAATCTCAACACATTTCTTTAGTCTGCTCGTATTTATATTGACATTACATTGTTCGGGATTCATTAATAATAACAAATAATGTGTGCGGCTAAAAATCCATAGTCCAAACCGGTTCAACCTGGATATGCTAAATACAGATACCAACAGAATATTGCTACAAAGCAATATGGCTGTCTGATAATATCTTGTCTTTTGTATGTACCAGTATTTTATTATTGCGTCGAATAAAGAGTAAACGTCTTTTAATAAAAAGAAAATATAAAAGAAACCCTCGATTAAATGTGTATAATATCAAACGTACTAAGTCCTTATCAACTTCATGCAGTCGAGGTCTCGGATAACGACTTCACTCATTAAGCTTCAGCCGAGATCTATTGCATGCAGTTAACATATGAAGTCGTTATCAACTCCATGCAGTCGTGGTCTCGGCTGCATGAAGTTGATTACGACTTCATGCATTAACTGCAAACATGCAGTAGGCCACAGGTAATTCTCTAATCTTAGGCCCAACGCGAGTATATTGCATTTACCGTGTTTTTTAGACGTTTTCTTTTACATCAACGGATTATAATGAACTAACTATAAGAACAAAACAAAAAATAATGAAGTCCTCAATTAAATATTTTGATCTAGGAAGCGACAAAAAATTCCGCTTTTTCACATCAAGTATTATTTAGTTACAAAAATAGAGGATGTCAAAACAAGGCAAACAATGTGAATACTTCGTTTTTAATAGTACTTAATAAAATTATAAAAGTCTGTACACATGTACATGCGTAAAGAAGTATTTAAATATGTACATACAAGTTATGACTTTTTAAAGCTGTAATTCTGTTTAACATCCAGTAGATACTTACTTTGGTACTGAGCAATAGAGATAAAAAGTAACTGTGTACCAATACGTCTACATAGTTCTTAGAATCGTGCTTATTGTCTTTTTTGTTCCCAATTCACAAAGTCATTTAAACGTTAATTCGTCACCAAAACGTGTATACTTACGTAAGTATTGTTTGTAGATACAATCCGCGATAATTGTGTTTTTGTGTACACGTCATCTTGTCAGTTTTGACTTTTGGGAAATAAACCATCAACCTAACGAAATCAGGTAACAAATGCGCGCTAAACAAGTAGATCATAATATTTTGTTCAGACATTCCACAAAATGTCTTATCGATTGCCGCAACCAATCTGTATTCAGTAAAAGTCTAGCTAGATGCACGTTGTTTGTATTTTTATGCACTTTCTAAAATACTACGATAGATAACTTTAACAATTAAGTACCTACTCATTGGCAAGCAGTAAGTAAAGCAGCGGGATATCCCGCTGTTTTACTTAATACAAGGGTAAATGTAATGAAATCAAAATTAATTCAATTTTTTCATTTTTAAATGTCGCTTAGGTCTTTGCGTCGATGTAGGTATAATTTCCAATCCAATCCAATCCAAAGAAATCCAAGTAAAAATAACGGATACTTTGATAGTTTAGTTTGGGTTATTTATAAAATAATTCTGAAAAATTTTAGATCTGCAGGCGCAAGCGATAATTATACATTATTGTTGATGACCTGAGAT